ATTTGGCTGAACATTTCAGTGAGTGCGTCCACTGAAAATAGCTCTTCACTCTCTGCGAGGATCTGAGTTTTTTCCCTATCTTGGACTACCCTGACAGGTCCGTAGTTTCCTTCGTACATGAACCTTTCCACTAAGTTTGCTTATGCGACAAAAGGCCTATTATCAGCCTGTACCACCTCTGCTTCGCCCTTGTTATTCCAAAAAATCAGGCATTGATGGACCGATGAGGGTATACGGCGACTTCCATGTATCCAATCTCTTCCTAGTAACACATTGTAACTAGTAGGATCATCTATTACAAAAAAGACTGTGGTCCTAGTAGTTGTCCCTATAGTTATGTCCAATGGCATAACTCCCTTAGCTGAAGTTGCTCCTCCATTGAACCTCGTAAGGATGACTTTTGTTGGAATCATGTCACCCTCTGTCTTTGCAAATTTCCTCATCATCCTACATGGAATGGTGTTTATAGCTGCTCCATTGTCGACAAGCACTTTTACCACAGGGATGCAGTTAACTAGAGCTTTAACGTACAATGACCTTAAGTGTTTAGTCAATTTTATGGCTGGCCGTTTAAAAATAACTTTTTCGGCAGCCTCTATTTCTACTTCCTTCTTGTTTTCTGTCGAATTATCCCCTTGTGATAAGTTGACGTGCAGCACATCGTGCTGAGCATTTGTCTCCTGAATTTCCTCTTTACTATTTTCTAATGCTTCCTCATCAGTTACCCAACATGTGGGAGGGGGCATTATTCTTGGAGGTGATCCATACTTGTCAGAGCGAGACACTCTCTTCTTCCTTTTGGGCGTCCCGTACAGTACATAGAAATCGAAAGGACGCCCAGATGGTTCTCCCAACAAGTCTACTTCGCGAACTCCCTCTCGATGTAGTTGCTTCAACAGAGTATTGTGCGATACTCCTCTCCTTCTTCTTTCTGCTTCTAGGTCGATTTCTTCCTCGATGTCTGTCATCCCGTCGTCTTCTTCATCATTATAGGCCTCTCCAGAAGTCTGGCCTTCTTCACATTCCAGCACGCAAGCCTCTCCTTCATTGTCCTCCCTTTCTTCTTCTTCTTTTTCTTTATTCTTGAATTCATTGGCCAGTAAGTAATTATTAGCCACAACAGGAGATAACGTACCGAACTGGATAGTAAGGGGCTGATCTAGATCTTCTCCATCCCTTCTGCCTCGCTCAAACTTTGATCTCCCAGAAGAAGTTTCTGACAGTTCTTTCATTGATTCATCTGTATCAGTCTCTTCACTATCTTTGAGAACATTTTGATTGGCTACCTTGAGTAGTTTAGGCACTTTAGGATACGACACTCCCTGTTGCTGCCTCATCATTCGTCCATAGTTTGGTTTGAAACGCTTTTGTTGGGTTCTAATCATCTCATCGAAGGGTATTGCCCTTTTTACATTATACTGGAACGAATGTCATACATTTGGCCGGCGAAGTTGCGACCTAAATGTTCTCCCATTATCTACTGGCCTGTACTGCCTCTCAAAAGGCGATCCTCTATGGAATGATGTACCTCGCACTCTACTAGGCTGAGTGTTTGGGAAGAAAGTAAGGCGATGAGGATGCTGTCATCTCCCTGGTTTCTCCGTGTTCCCACTTACTTCTCTTTTACATCTTGCACACAGGACGTCTTCGTCCTTTTTTGGCTCTTTTCCCTTGATTCGTTCAAAGACACTGGGATGTAGTCCAGGGTCCTCTTCTCCATCATCTATGACCAACTTGAATTTTGGCAACTTGTTTTTGAAACCAGCCGTTACCATGTTCACTCCAAGTGGTTGTGGAAAAGGATTTTCATCCACTGCCATCTTCTTCTTATCATCGAGCGTAATTCGTCCTGACTCAATGGCATCTTGCAATACATGGCGAAAAACCAAGCAATTGTTAGTCAAATGTGACCATGCATTATGCCATTTACAATATTTTTTACCCTTAATTTGTTCAGGGTTTGGCAATTTATGCTTATCACTCAACTTTATCTGTTTATCCCTATATAATTTATCAAATATAAGGTCAGCCTTGGTTACATCGAACGAGAACGTTCTAGCCTTTATGTTTCCATCTTTTATGGGCTCATCCTTATCGATGGTCTAGGTTTAGCCATTATAGGACAAGTATACGTGTCTTTTTTGACCAATTTGGCCAAACATATTTCGGCTTGATCGTATGACTCATCGCTAATGGTATGAACGTCAAAGTTTGGGTCTTTGTAATAAGTCCCTTTATTAGAATTTTTCATCTGCTTTTCTTCTCTTATCAGTCGTTCATACCTAATCACATTCGCACTCAACTGGAAAAGGTCAGAAAATTCGTTGTCTTGGAATTTCTTTTTTAAATCAAAGCTCAAGCAACCCTGAGCGATTTTAACAAATTCTTTTTCGAGCAGAGGTACAAAACACTTGCTTCTTGCTGTCTTGAACCTTTGGAGAAAACTTTCTGCCCATTCGTTTGGCATTTGACGTAGATTCGTCAAATCAGCCAAAGTAATTTCAGACTCAGTTTTATAAAACTGAGCGTGGAATAATTGTTCCAATTGTTGTCATGTTTGAACAGAGTTCGCTGACAAGTTGATAAACCAGGAGAAAGCTACTCCTGTTAATGAACTAAGGAAAAACCTCATTTTATGGTAATCAATTACATCACCACTTTGCAATGTGAATCGCCCTATGAGTTCTAAAGTAGACACCTCCCCTAAACCAGTAAACAGTGAGGATTCTGGCACTTTATACCCTCTAGGCCATGGATATGCTTGGTCTGCCCAATCAGGATATGGCTTTGTGTAAGTCAGCCTAATGATAAGACGCACCCCAAAAACCATCTGATCCTGTACGATTTCCATAATCTGATTCCTCAACATGACGTTGGGGTCATATGAAATTCCCACAGGTTGGTTAACCGGTTGATTTGCATGAGGTCTGATGTTTGGTCCTTGATTGGCAACAAAGTTACCATGATTTGGGCCATTACCATTAGTCTGAACATCTATTCCCTCATTAACACGTGGGGTATTCTGTCCATTGTTTAGGACATTATCTCTTACATTTGGATTATCCCCAAGTTAAGCATACCACTACCATTGTTCTGATTTGGCACTGCACCACCCTCTTGGTCTGAAGTAGAGGGACCAAAAAGTGGTTCTATTCCTTGATTCGGATTTTGGAATGAGGGATTATGTCCCACAATTGTCCTAGTTTGAAAGTGATTTGCAAAAGGCAGAACCAGTTGACATATTTGACCTACTAACTTATTCATTATTTTGTTTAAAGTGTTTAGTTGTTTGGCTATGTTGTCATAATATGCATTCCCATTTTGGGTAAATCCATATTATGAATATTTCGAAGATTTACCTATTCAACGACATCTTGTGTGAGTTCTCCAAGTAGTACACGCATAGTTCGAGGACTCAACTCTGTCATTGGTTCGTAACGACTATTACTGCTCTGATTCTGTCCATCTGTTCGTAGAGAGGCATGCTGCTCCTCATATCGCTCGATCACAGACTGGACTTCTCCCTGACTTGCTGATTCCTTATTGGATCTCTGAGGCATATTGTTTCACCTTTTGTATTTTCAACACCAAACACCATTGTCCCACTGGGCGTGCCAAATTGTTTCGCGCGGGTTCGTCGCTAACAATTAAAAAGGGATCAGACGATTGTGTAAGGGACAAACCTCTTGAAACAAAGTCCCAAAAATGGATGTTCTTTATTGGCGATATCTTTACAATCGGAAAGTAAAAACAGAATGTCTTCAAGGGGCGCAAGCACACGAATTACTGAAAGAAGTGTTTAAATCTAAACTAAGAAATTTAAAATTACATGTTCTCTATTCGAGAGTTTTTTGATTCGGGGTCTTTTGCTCTATGTCTTTTCTTCCTTTTATACTCCCTGTATGATCTCTTTGTGATCAACCGCCTAAAAACTATTTGATCGTTCTATAACTGCCCACTTTCCTCGTAATGGCCAACTTGTCATGGAGCTGTCTTTTTTAACTGCTGTCATTACTCTTTGTCGTTCAACCGTTTTCGATTGAATTCCTTGAATTGTGGAACGTGATAGGGCTGCTTAATAACTGCTTTGATAACTGCGCTTCTTGATAACCATAGCACTTCACGTTTGCTAAGACCTTGGGCAACTCGAAAGTTTGGGCGATAATAGAGTAGCAGCTCTGGGCGACTGCATGACATTCCATTCGCTCAGATCCTGGGTGACTTGCAAGTTTGGGCGATAGTGTTACCGCGTTCACGAGCCTCTCTATTTGGGTCTTCATCCTGAATTGTCTGATTGGGTTTCATTCTTTGGACTATCTGATTTGGGGATCCTCCAATTGGGCTTCGTTCCTTGGGCCGTCGATTTGGGCTGAATTTTTATGTGTCAACAGGTTCGAAATCCATTTCAAATTATTTTGCAAGTACTTGGTTTAACATTATTTAATTATTTCAAAAATTAGTTGTGTAAATGAGAAGAAAATCTGACGAATTTTTGAGATGTTACAAAAATACTCGATCAAATGCAAGAGATTTCTAAACCGTATAGAAAAATCAAGAAAATTAAAGTACTGTAAAACTTCTTTTAAAAAATTTTAAAGAGTAGAAATAATAATAATGATGATGATTATGATAACATTTTTTTTCCTGTTTATTGTCGAGTAAATTAATACTTTCTCAATATGAATCTACTCGAATCATAAAAAGTGATTCTTTAAATAGTCGAATCTAATGTCTGACTAGAACTTGGGACAATACTTCGTACTTTACTCTGGTGATAAAACAAAAAAAAAGAACTGTTGCCAACGAATTCAAAACTTGCGCTGAAAAAAAAAGAAAAAAAGGATTGCGGACTTTTATGTTATTTGAGTCAGTTCATCGGAATGAGAAACTTTAGAAAAATTATTTGGGTCTCAATCCTTTCATAATGCCGGGCTTGGGCCTCTCATAATTAGTCCCTAGCCAGTGGCCGATAGACTCGAAAGGGAAATAAAACGAGAAAACCACTTCAATTCTTCTATTCAGAAATCGGCCCCCTTTCATTCTTCGCTGTTCGCCTCAGTCGCCCGTCACAAAGCGAAGAATTTTCCCATACTACTCTCCTTTTTGTATCTCTAATTTCAGAATTCATCACACTATGTCGCAGGCAATTCTCCTTTTACGCTTCATACAGAATTTAATTTACCAATTTTGCATTTTACTGTGTATTGTTGAATGTGAATTAGGGTTTTTTTAATTAATCGGTTTCATTACCAAACCATTTCTTGCTTTTATTGCGTGAATTTGTTTTCATTAATTCAGATCTCTCTCTCTCTCTCTTTAATTTCGATTGAGATATACGCGAAGAATCTGAGGCGTTTGTTTGTTTACAGGTTGATAGCAGAAATTCTTCAGCAGCTAAACGTGCCCGTACTGATGGTATGCCTGTTGTCTCCTCAATTAATCATAATTTTGTACGGTCATATATATCTTTGTGTATATACCTTTTGGATTTAACAAGTGGCAAAATAGTAGTCATGATTTTTTAGTGTATTTTTATGCATTCATTTGTGTGTGGAATGGAAATGATTACACATGATAGTTTCCGGTTCTTATTTGAAAGATAAATTATATATTTTGGATATTTCAAAGTCCATTATAGAATATCTTATGACTCAAAGGCTGCTTAGACGAATTTGGAACTCTGCTATAAATGCACAACACATCAAAGGAAATTGTTTGCAGCTCACGTCGATCTCTTCACGTTTCTATTGCAGCTTTCAAATGTACTGTGCATATTTTCAAAGTGCTTAGTGTGTTGATTATATATTCATAGGTTTGAAGTCTTTGTATTTATAACATATTATAGACTTTGTTGCGCGAACGTTATATTTTTCCACGGAATGAATGTGACAAGTGGTCGACACACTTTGATACGTCTGGGAAATTTTGAAAGTATGCATATTTGTAACATGTCGTATATGCCATTTTATTAGCACGTCTTTGGAAGTAGGAAACACTGACGCAGGAAAATGGCTTGAATCAGCTTCGCCAACATGCCAAGTTGCTGCATGTTTCTCTCTTTTTTGGTTTTTCTGCTGCGGAATACCTCCAACTTGTCATATGCATTTCAAATGAGAAAGTTGAAACGACAAAAAAAGGAATAAGAAAAACTGAATTGGAGAGGAGCGCCACTGACCAATAGCTAAAACTGTATGTGGAAATGAGTAGCATCGGAGCCAGGTGGAAGTGAAGGGCGACTGTGGGTGTGGAATGGAGAAGCTCCAACAGTGTTCCCTTGGGTTGAAGCTATGATTGAAGACTGATGACAGTCAAAAACCTAACAATTTGAACCTTTCACAATTAAATCACAATTTTTGAAGTGATGATCCTTTTTTAAAGGAAAACATAAAACTCTTTATTCTCTTTTTGGGTATCTCATATGCTGAAGGTGTCTTTTCCATGTTAAAAAGGAAAAAAGGAGCAATGAATGACTTGAATATATGGTTATTTGTTTTACTCCTACTTTATTGAGCTGTCTGGCATTACCAAAATTCTGTTGCTGTTTTTCATATGTTATTTATTTGGTTTGACACTGTTTTTATATGAGCGATTCATATGATGGGCAAGTACAGAATGCTGATGTTTCAAGTATGACTATGTTATAAAACCCACTTGAACTTGGATTAGGAATCTTCTTGTTTTGGTTTACAATTCCCACAACTAGTTCAGACCTCGAATGACCGTGGATTGTTTAGCTTCTTTGTTACTTTTTTGGTTCTTCCTATTTATTGAGTTTTTTGTGTTTGTAGGTGGTCGCAGAGAGGATGACTGGACCTGCCCTAGTTGTGGCAATGTCAATTTCTCATTTAGGACAACCTGTAATATGCGTAATTGTACTCAGCCTAGACCAGCTGATCACAACCCTGTAAGAACTCAACATCTTTAATATCAAATTGCAAGAATTTGCATGATGAAAAGTTAGTGCCTTCATTTCTGAAAACTTTGGTCTTTGTGCATGCATTAAAACTAGATATCGTCAATTTGATAGTATGTTTCTTGTTTCAAGAGTTGTGGATAAAATTTATCTCTCTCTCTCTCTCTCTCTCTCTCTCTCTCTCGATGTGGTGGTTTTTCATGCCCTCCTCCCCGGTGAGATAAAAAGAGAAAAAGGGTTTCAAGGTGCATTGTGAAATATTGCATCCTTCTGCTAGTCATAATGTTTATCATCCTATTTTCTAAATAGTACTTGTGTAAAATGGCTTCACTGTGTCTCTATATGCACACGAGGCAATTCTAGTAGACAAATTATCATCAAGTTGATACATTTGTTCTTTTTATTTGCTATCATCAAGATCCTACTTCTGTGAAATTTCTATTAAGATCTATTAACTAACATCACTTCTATTTTCTAGAAATCTGCTGCCAAGCCAATGCAAGCACCTCAGGGCTACTCATCGGCAGCACCCTATCTAGGATCTGGTGCACCCTCCTCAATATATATGGGCGTACCACCGTATGGTTCCTCTCTTTTTAATGGAACATCTATTCCACCATACGATGTTCCATTTTCTGGGGGCTCTGCTTATCCCTACAACTATGGTAACCGTATCTCTGGAGGCAATCCATATAGGCCGCTGCATTTTTCTGGTCCAGCTCCTTATTCAAGTGGATCATTGATGGGAAATGGTATGTCCCTTCTCTTATGTTGGTTTAGATTTGTACATCAACAGCATCAGCACAGTCATACTTTGTGTTTTCTATTTCACTTTTTGGCCCGTACAAATTATTGAAACATCAATGAATCAAACTAAGCCTTGTTCAGACCATTTTGATTACCATTACATTGCATCATATGCAATGAAATGGTAATAACTTTCAAAGTATTTGAACTGGAACCTTTTCTTAGGCCCTTCAAGTATTTATTTTTATATTGTTGCTTCATTATTCATCTTATTTTACACCTCATAGGTGGGATGTACGGCATGACTCCCTTAATGGATCGATATGGCTTTGGCTTGTCTATGGGCTCTGCCATGGTAAGTGCCATATAAGGTTTCCTTTTTCCTACCCTTTTCTCTACTTAATATAATATATTAAGAGATTTACAGAATAGCACCATTCTTGCATGTGTCCGATATTTTTATGCATGGGGTAGGAATCTATACTTGTCGTGTTTTTTAATAATCCCCCAATGTGATTGCGAATTGTGGAATATTAGTTGATTGTGCTCTTCACTCCACTATCTATTTCTTTCTCAGAAAATCTGTCATTGTTTCTTCATGTCAATTAGGAATTGCATTATTCCTTGACAAATGAATATGTTGGTGGTGGTTTCCTTGACTATTAAGTGGTCCAACTTTTTGCAGGGTCCAAGACCTGGATTTTTCCCCGAAGATAACTCTCAAAAGAAAGGTGGAGGTATGTGATATCCTTTAATTGTATTCGAAGTTCTCATCTCTGAACTATAATTCATCCAATTGTATGAACTAGAGCTTTCTCTTAATGCTCTTTTAGATGGAACGCGTGATAATGACTGGGCATGTCCCAAATGTGGAAATGTCAATTTTTCATTCAGAACAGTTTGCAACATGAGAAAGTGCAATACTCCTAAGCCTGGGTCCCAGGTTTGATCAATGGCTTCTTGATTTTCTACCTGAAAGTTATAAATGCTGACATCAGATGTAACTTATTAAATAGAATATGTATCTAATGATTCTAGCACATTTTTTCGGTTAATATTTAGAATTGAGTCAATGTTCTTGTTTTTCTCTAAGTTTGCCCATTCTGGGACTCATATAGTATATTTCTTTTACCTTTATAGCAGGTTGCCAGATTGGGCAGGAATACAAGTAAGTCTAAAATCACAAATATAGTTTTCCCATCTATGAAAAAATGGCAAATATTTTTTCCTTACAACGTTGTGTTTTAGAACCAGACATGCCAGAAGGGAGCTGGAAGTGTGAGGAATGCGGCAATTTAAACTACCCTTTCAGAACTAAGTGTAACAGACAGAACTGTGGTGCAGAAAAACCTTCTGAGATAAATAACACTTCTCCAGAAGCAGCTGATGCAAATGATCAGGTCAGTTGTGAGATATGTGAACTCGGTATGAGCCTCTGTTACTTGAAATTGTACATGTCCTTTTTTCTTCTGTGTAGGTGCAATAAATTCAGTAAGTGTTTGACTTGGCATTTTGTATGTAAGGAGTTACTTTTAATGGAAACTGTTACTGTTGATACTATTCGTTTTCCTTTCTCCTTTATCAATAGATCTTGCAGTGTTTACCTGTTCACTTTCTACTTTTATTTTTAGCGTTGTGCATTTATTAATCACAATTGTCTAATGTTCCAGTGAGTACTAGGCATGTCTGAGAAGGTCCAGAGTTGTCGTCCAGCATTGCTCAGTCGGGTGTCTGAAAGTCAGTTGTGTCATCTTCCTGTCGCAGCAATTGTCGAGTTACTCTGCCTTCTTAGTTCTAACAATTCCTGTCCGTTGTTGTATTAACTCTAATTTTATATTATCCTGTCATTATAAAGTTGCACCTTTGTGTCCGCCAGCTTGTTCTGGCTAGATTTTTAGATTGATTATGGTTGCTGTTATCTAGGATTCTATACTTGGGTATCTCGTCAATTTTAGACTTGTTAACATACACATGCATTTCGAGCTATATTCTTTTGGTCATCGATTTCGTTTTATTGTCTGTGCTTTTCTTGGAGAGCCTCTGTTCTAGAATAGTGGAACTGATCTTTGAAGTCTAAGATCTAAAGCAGGCTTGTCAGTCAGGGTGAAATGGTTCGTTTATAAAATGATAGCCCTTAGAAAAAGCTTGGCCAACTCCTAAAATTAGGATATTAGGCAGCCTGTTGAGTTGTCTCGTGTCTCGTGTCTCTGATCCAAGGTGAGATGGCTTCAATGTTATTTGAGATCATCTTTGAAATTATGCGGCTTGGGATGGCCTTGGTGCTCCTGGGCTGATATGAATATTGCGGAGTGGAGATCTGGTTCGAACTTGGTAAATATTGTAGGTGTGCCTGTGGCCCGGAGGGAAATTGCAGACCTGCATTTGGACTCGGTAAAGCTTGCTGTGATACTGGACGAAAGTCTCGTCCCCTCGAAACGTGGGAAGGTAAACAGAAGTGCACGTCACGACGTTGAACGTGAGAATCCAGCATGATAAAGGCTTATTAAGTAATATAGAAATACCAAATGCCGAATAATTACCGTAGTCGGGTAAGATTTGTACTAGGCTTTCCTATTTATAACTTCTTATGTACTAACTTGAACTTGGTCCAAATTCACACTATTGACAGAATTTCTTTGAGATAGAACGCAAGAAATCCAATTCTTCCGAAAGGGTGGAAATTTATCTTTTTATAATTAGCGTTTTCTTTTATGAGCCAGTTTCGGTCAAATTGATTTGCCTTATGAAGTTCAAGTCCGAAACGAAAGCACGAGTAAAGCATAGTAATTTTCAAGTCCAAAACGAAAGCACGAGTAAAGATAGTAATTTTCAAGGCCGGATGAACAATGGGTTTTGTTGATTTCGCCTTTCGTGTGAACATTGGATCGAAAGGTTCAGTGTGTCTGGATGCACCGTGTACCGCTAAATCAATGATTTTTAATCGATTTGAGTCTAAGCGTTGAATAATAAATATATGGAGTGGTTTTTCAGATGTTATGTCGATGAACTCGGCACATTAAGCTCCTATTTGTGTTTAATTTTATTTAAAATGTATCTTTCTCGCTTCTTTTCAATCACGGATTCTTAATTGAAATAATATTATACGTAAATTCAAAGCCTTTTTTTTTTTTTTTAACTCCACATTCTTAAAAAAATTGCTATTTCAAAACATATTTCTTTTCTCAAAAATTGATTTACACAAACAAGGCAATAAGATCTTTATCACGTCTTAATCAATTTGTACCGAGCCATGTTGACCCATTGATGTCTCAATCATTTTGAGTCGAAGTACGTAGATCCATGCATGCAATTGAAGGATGTTAAATTAGGGGGTGTTTGATATGCATTTGTATGTAAAAATGTATTTTACAATAGTAAATTGATGTGAAATGTGTGGTTGCGAAATAAGGAAAAGTTCTTGATTTACTTGTAATATTATTTTAATAGAGAAAAATGCATTTTAAAAAAAAATGACTACCAAATGGGGCCTTATTATGTTAAGATTTTATCTCTAATTTCACTATCTTTTTCCAGTAAGGAATTTACGTGTAATCTAATTGTTTGATTGAACGAAGCTAATTGTTATAATAATTTGGGACTTGTGTTTTAAGCCCTTGTGTGAAAGTGATTTTTGACTCTCACTTCTCTTCACTTTCTTTTAACTATAAAATTTTCAATAAAATATTTTATTTTCTATTTTTCTCCACAATTTTTCTGTTTTCTAACCAAATATTTTTCATAAAAACTATCACAAATAAAAATCATAAGATAGAAATAATACAATTTTTCTTGTAGATGTTGTGACTAACAGTTGGTTCAACATGTGGTGAGGAATCTCTTGATTCTGTAATAAGTTCTAATGTTGTCCAACTTATTTATTATTGTCACGGTAAACATATTTTTGGTTCGATAGTACATTCAATTGATTAATCGAGTAAAATAAATATTTGCAATTGAAAAAAAATAAAAAATCAACATTTTAATAAATTAATTAGTAATAATAATGTCTATTAGTTTGAGCGAGACTGCATTGGGATGACGATGATGGGTGGAAAGAATTACTTTCCACTGTTTCTACCCAAACCTCAGCGCCACTTTCAAGTCTATGGCTTATCTCTCTCTTTCTTTTTCTTTTTTCTTTTTTCAAATTTCTTCTTCTTCATTTTTGTGGCTGATATCTTGTTTTTTGTATTTTTCTTCAATTTTTTGTTCCACTTTATGAATGTCCAAAAAGATTGTTTTTTTTTTTTTTTTTTTTTATAAAAGTAGCTGTTTCGGTAATTGGATAGAGAAAAATAGTTAGCATTTAAGGATTGCCAAATTAGAGAGAGATTGAATAGAAATAAATCTAAAAGATCTTTTTACATAAAATTCCCCATTCGTGTATTACACCTTCCCTCTATAATTAGCTGATTTTGTATTTGTTAGCGAATCTTCATATTCAAACAACTTTTCCGCCATTGAGAAAAGTTTCGCTCTGTCGAATTTATGTCGCGAAGTAGGGAAAAGTGTGATTCGGATCCGGTTCAGTGTGCGGCGTGAATTGTCATGCTTCAGGTAATGTCATCCCAAAATTAAATTAAAGAAGCAATTATTGTCTCCTGGAATTATGAGTGGTGTATATTTGCATTTAATGGATTTATTATTTCTTTTTATTGCTTGTTTAGCATATTTGATCAGTGCCCAAATGGTGGAAAACACTATGCAAGCATACTGTGAATTTTGGTTTTCCAGATTATGGATCTGTTTGGATATGTGATTTTGCATTTGGTAGATTGTTGAACTTTCCAAATTAAAGTTGTTAATGGGATGTTCCTATCATAATTATCTCAACCATGCTACAGTGCCGGGATAATTGACATTATGTTTGCATTACACTCTATCATTCAACTATTTAAAATACAATCATCTTTTCCATCAAGTCATCTCCCGCCACCTAAGATTTTGGATCTATATTTCTTTGGGTTAAACTACTTTGCCACAAGCACAATGCTAGAAGCAATGCCAAAATTCTAGGTGGCGGGAGGTGGTTTGAAACAGTCCAATGATAAAGTGCCATGTGGCATAGGAATATGAGCTGACAACTCAACCATTTTGCTCTTCACTTAAAAGTTAAAAGAAACGTGCGCAACCCTTATGACTTAATGGTAAAATCTCACAGAAGCCGTGAAGAGATGAACTTTGCTAATTAATGAAAGGTTGATGACATGTTTGAAACGAAAAATTGGACAGGTGCAAGATTGCTACCTTGCTCGAATGTTGGGAACCAATGGCACAATTTATCCAATAATAATTGTAATGTGATTTCCCCCAATTTTCACAATCACACTATGACTTTTCCATGTTTGATAAAAGTCACAAACAACAATTATAACCATGATTTGCTAATAAAGTAACAAGATACCTTTTCTCTTGTATAATTTTATTTCAATTATAATGCATATTCTTTCTCAAAAATTGCATTAATCTAATAATTTTACCATGCCATATTTATGTAAAAACTTCTTTGGAGCATCGTAACGTTAGCTTACTGATGAAGTGCATAAGGGATTAGAGTTTATGGCAAAATGGGAACATCACAAGGCAAAAGTTGGCAAAAAGGGCAAATGATTTTATGATGACTTAGGGTTTACTCATTTTTAGCAAATCGCTAGTCTAATTTGATTGGAGCCTAGCCAAGGAATAAAACTCAGCGCCTTTGGCCCTGATGCAAGGCCAATTTCGGGCAAAATTCATCGTTTAGGCCCTCGTTTAATCTTTTTTGCTATTTATGGTAATTTTCATTTTTGCAATATCTCTTACCATGAAATTCGGATTTAGATTCCGTTTGTTGGAGGATGATTCTGAAGATAAGTATCTTCCATCTTAGTAATTATCTCATATTTTCCATTTTTGAAAAAAAAATATCTTATTTTATTTTATTTTATTTTCCGAATTTTCCTAGGTTTTTCTTCTATTTAATCAGTTGTAAGCCCTTAGAGGCAGTAGTTCTTGAATTCAATAAAATCTTCCTCGAAAATTTTCTCAATTTGTGATTGTTCATCTTCCGTATAATATTTCTGCTGCGTCACTTACTCTAATTGCTAATTGCATTACCGCTAAATGCACATGCAAGCAGGATGCGTGTCTCATATTTAGATGCCACGCCGACCACGTGTCCAAGTAGCTTACTTTTAGCTGTTCAATCACATCATTGAATTTTGCCTAGTTTTTTTAAAGTATCACACCAGATCGGATGATAGATTGTGTGAGGAGAGAGATGGAAATAGATGAATTTATCTACTCTGTGTGAGTTTATGCATGTTTGAGCTATCAAGACATGATTGTAGAGTAATTATATGTAATAAATCTAGAGTTTCAGTTGCCAATTCTCTCCTCTTTCTTTAAATGAGTTTTATGTAATTAATCGGTTACATGAACACCGATATGCATCTCATCCTGGATATCACGTCTCCTTGCTGAAGTGTTCATTGATTTCCTTTTGAATATTGAGTTTTAAATTTAATGAACTTGCTGCCGATGTTTTGTAATTGTACAGTTTATAATGTTTCCTCCAATTCCATCATATTAAATTGTATTACTTGTGAAAATTGCTCTGCAGGATGACTGTTTGTGGATCTGAAAATCTCAAAATGTTGGGAAGTGGTGAACCTCCACTCGCAAAGAAAGCTCGAAAGGAGAAGGCTCGAGGAAAAGTGACCGCAACAACAAGCTCGACTGAAATTATGGAACCCTGTCTATGGAGAGAATTTCCAGGAGACCTTTACGAAACTGTGATAGCAAGACTTCCCATAACCACCTTTTTTCGTTTTCGTTCAGTTTGCCAGGATTGGAATTCACTGCTTACTTCACAGAGTTTCTCCCAACAGTGTGCTCAAGTTAAGCAAACCCAACCTTGGATTTACGTCACAATCCATGGAAACGCTAATGATGGAGCCATATATGATCCACTGTCGAAGAAATGGTACTGCCCACCAGTACCTGCCCTTCCAACAGAGTTGCTCGTGGAGCCAGTGGCATCTGCAGGGGGTCTAGTCTGTTTTCTTGACAGTGAATTTATTACTGCCTACGTCTGCAACCTTGTTACGGCCTCCTTCAAAGAGTTGCCACCTAGGTCGGTTGATTTTGGGGCCATTGGGATGACAATGAATGAGAGCACTCCAAATGCTGGATATAAGATCCTTTGCGTAAGTTGTGATGGTGAGTATGAAATTTACGACTCCACAAAGAACTCTTGGGGTCGATCAGGGAGATTGCCCTCGAATATCAAGTGCCCACTCGACCTGAATTTCAAGTCTCAGGTCGTGTCTATTGATGGAATGCTTTACTTCATGCATTCAGACCCTGATGGCATCGTGTACTATAATATGACCACCGGGGTCTGGAAACAAATCTTAATCCCAGCTCATCCGCATCTGAGTGATCACACACTAGCCGAACGTGGAGGGAAACTCATGCTTGTGGGGCTTGTGAACAATAGTGCTTCGACGTGCATCTGCATATGGGAGCTGCAGCAGATGACTTTCTTATGGATGCTGGTTGACAGAATGCCAACCCTATGGTGCTTGGAGTTTTACGGGAAGTCGGTCGAATTAGATTTCCTGGCTAACAAAGGTTGGGTTATGATATCGCTTAGATCAAGACATAAGTATCGTCTGATAACATATGATTTATCTAGCAAGGAATGGTTTAAGCCACCTCGAAGAATACCATCATATGGGAGAAAGAGGCCTTGGCCTGTAAATGGCACTGCATTTCATCCTTGTTTGACAGCTTTGGTTTAGTTTGCATACATAGGATTGTCCCTTGTAAATCATATTATCAATCCTTACCTTCTATGTTGTAGACACAGTTGCTAAATTAATAAATCTAGACAATTTTAATGCTTATTAAGTTTTTAATTAACCTTTTTCTTGTGTATATCATTGAGTGTTTTAACCGATTTATGTCTGGGGTTCATTCAGGATGATGGGCATTTTGAGATTAAAAGCAACCTTTGAATCGACGCGCAGTTTAATCGAGCTTTTGAAACTTAACGTGCCTGCGAACATTCTTAATTGGTACCCAAGCATGATCAGGAACAAAATACACACTTCTCATCCAGATTAGAGGCGTTGAAGTTTATCTAATCGATGCAGGGGGCATATTGAATAAAAAACACAGTTCTAATCCAGATTAGAACTATCCAACAGATGTGCTAATGAGCTCGATTCAATCATATAACTTCATCTAATCAATGAAAACGGGCATATTGAAGTGAAACGATTCTTGCGATGACATGCAGTAAATCCATTTAAGATACACAGCAAGTCATCTGATAACATAATAAAGATAAGAAAAACAAAAACTGGAATAGAATAGGATATTCTTATTAATATTTAATGAGTTTTCGAAGATTAAACTCTGAACTAATGAAGGTTCCCTAGCGTTTCAATATTGATGCTACTAACCCAAAAAATACAATAACAATCCGCTATCATCTGTATCAAAGATCATGATTATTAGTTAAGCCATGCCTCCACTTGTTGCAGTCCTGATTATTTGGAATAAGGCTGGAAGAAGAGACAGACAAAGGGTAGAAGGGAGCATTAGCCAACTTGAAATTTGGAGAACTATGGAAACAATGCAGAAAATAGCAAAGCAGAAATAGGCCGTTCAACAGCACATCACTCATTTACTTTAAGCACTGAACAGTAGTACAACACACCAAATACAAGTATAACCTATAACCGATTGGAAAAGTACACATATATAGCACAACTAATATGTTGCATGCTTCAATCAGATTGTCCTCCTTTATCAAAAAGCTAAAAAATGGATGGCTACTTATTTTAAGTTGGATGATCTGCAACTTATTTTAAGTTTCACAATTGCTGGTTCGGTGACCAGGTACTTGCCAATTTTCATGATACTATTTAGACCACAAGGCAGTTTTTAATTAAGCAAGAACATAAAAATTTATAATAATTAATATTTATTAAGTTGTTGGTCCAGACAACCCTCTTGGAAATGTACCAAAGAAACTCCGATTCCCATCAATAACTACAAAGAATTTTAGAAACAATTTTTCAAAATACTCTTCAAAGCGTATAGTTTAGTTCAGGAACTTGATTTTTTCTGTTAGGGTCTTCTCTTCAGTACACATAAACAGAAATATATCATAGTTACTAAAATCTAGTTCCCAAGAATGGTCAGTATTAGGGGATATGACATCAGCAGAAGCAAAAAAGACCAATAAAATCGAAGCAAGGAAATGAGATGGATATTAATAATCGAGAGAGCTATAACGAAGGAGAAAAGAAAATCTTACATGATCCAATGACGACAAAAATGAAGAACCCAATCAAGATAGGACCAACAGGATATTTGTTTCCCTTCTTGGTGCCAGTTTCAGGGATAGCCCCGCGCTTGGTAATGTTTTTCTGAAACCTCTCCACCTTCCTATCAGCAAGCCTCCGAGAAGTTGTCTAAATACCAGATAAATATTAATGATAATATGTGAGTTTCCCAAACTGTTGCATGGCGTGCTAAAGTATATCAATAAATTAACAAGTGCCACACAGCTATTTATGTGTACTGAAGAGAAGACCCTAACTGTTTATGTGTACTGAAGAGAAAATGCTTTTGCTATAAAGACAAGTGGATAAAGTCTTTATAGCAAAAGCATTTTCCAGTTTGACTTGTAGAAATTATATATCTTAATATTTAGAAGCACTCTATGGCCTGTGGGAGCTGCGAAGAATCTAGTTGTGATAAACCAAATAGAATGGCAAAAAATTCATTTAGCCCATCCTAAACTTTGTTGTGAATAAGGCTTAGCTTTACACGGATAATAATCACAGGTTCCCTAAAAAAAAGTTGGTGATTGTGCGTCTGCAAAGCAAGTCAATGTAAGTAGACAATTAGCATAGTTTTTATAATAAAAAAGAATTTGAATAATTGTTCTTTAACCTTAGAAATGGCTTTGATAAGTTGAGTGAAATTGGAGGATTGATTCCAAACAAGTATGGGGGTTAGACTTAGCTGAAATACAACTTTAAATTCAAAGAGATGTAGATATGGATATGTGATTCATTTCCTTATCTATCATCCTAACTGAACCCCAAGGGAGGCTGCAATCTCCAACAGCAAAACTTTTGCTATATATTTTTTCTTTGTTTCTTTTTCCCTTTCTAAGTATATCTATATATACTTTGCAAACCTCCTATCATCTTTTCATAAACTGAATTAAAATAAGAATTGACCAGCAACAAAGAAACAACCATCATTTCATTTCAAAATATTTCTGAGAGTTAAAGGAATAAAAACTAAAGATTTTTGCTTCCCGGTGATGCAATACATCAAAGATTTGATGCTTCCCAGTGTAGTAATCAAAATGTTGTTAATTGTATTAGCCATTATCCATTTCTTTCACCATTTCAATCGTGATTCCTAATTTCCTACAACGTCGTCTCAGATAAAGTATAATTAAAATTTGTTCTTTCTACGTCGTAATTATTGGTATTTGGCGCTAAATTATGTATATTGAGGTTAAGTTAGCAAATTTATAAGCATAACGACGAGTGAACAATTCTAAATTAAACCATTAAAAGGCATATTTTAGAAAAGAAATGTAATAAAAACCAAATACAAATCAAAATAAAAAAAAAAAAATTTCAAATGACGGAAAAAGGCCAATAAGTAAATATAATAGAGAAATATCGTACTATTACCATGTTTGCAGAGAGATCAAGTGCGGATAACGATTGGAACAAACAGCAAAAGAATTTACAGGTGATTTAGCTCTGGCGAGACAATGAAGACGGATCTCTCAATTTCTCTGTTTATTTTTTGGCTGATATTTTCTATATGAAAATTGTTGGGAAAATAAAATTAATACTTTATTTGTATTTTTCAGACCAGAAAATTATTAGTTTTGAGGGTAGCAATTAAGTTGTTGATCCGAAACGAAATTGAAATTCTTTGAAAAACTCGAAAATATGTAAAAATAATAATATTATAAAGAATAAGTTTATTGAAAAATGTATAAAATTTTGTTTTATATGGGTAAAAATGATATTTTTAATCTCTTGAAATTAAACTAAAATTAGAAAAAATAATAATAAAACCATAATCTAAAAATAAGAACACATCATACCTAATCAAGAAAGAANTATATATATATATATATTTTTTTTTTTTAATGAGGTGTCCCAGCTTACGCCAGACTATATCCTCGTCTCTGAACTTTCGGCCCCTCAGCAGCTCAGGGAGGTAAATCGCGGGATGTGGCCCAAGTTGACCAGGGTTCGAACAGCCTTTATACTACTGGCCTCAAGGGAGCCTTCTCCATGGTTATTACATCACCAAGCTGCTACAACCCTTCCTCTGGTTATTACAACACTCAGCTGCTCCAACCAGGAATCGAACTCTCCACGCTGGAGTTGCGAGCCCCGCACTGTCCTTCCTTTGCCAACTTGGATGTGCCTCTGAGGGCTCTATGCAAACATATTTAATTGCACTTGTGGTCGCTGACTAGGGATGTTAATTGAACTCGTGGGCTCGGGCTGCCCATGACTTAGCTCGAAAAAAGCCTGAGTCGGCTTGACTCGAGGCTTGGCTCAGGCTCGGCTTGCTAAGGGCCGAGCCTTGTTTTTTAGGCCAAGTTTTTGCTTGGCTCGGGCTAAAAGAACCCGTTTGATTTTACTTGAGGTGAGTCCGAACTTTGAATTTCGACTTGCGAGCCAACTCGACTCAACTCGTTAACATCCTTATGTCACTCAGCTAGAATTAAGTCATTGAACTTCAATTTGCAACAATTGAGTTGGTTAAATTTAATTTAATAACAATTAAAATACTTCATTTAAGCTTCGTCACATGATGTAACAAATTAACGATGTACCAAATTTGATGACGTGTTCATTAAAATTAACTAATTCTTCTCATTTTCATTTATGCCTCCATTTAAAAAAGAAAAACTATAATACATTTATAAAGAAGAATAATAATAAATTTCTCGAAATGTGTAAATAATAAATGAGTAATGTTTATGAATGTGTAATTTAAATTGACATTTGACTTCGATTAAATTCATAAACTAATTGCCAAACATAGGCTTAATCTTCAAATCTTGATATCTCAACTACATCTAAAAAATTCAATTAAAAAAAAGTGTAAATGAATTTCATGTTTTTTAAATTAAAATACATAAAAATCCAAAATTCCGTTATCAGATTTCATTACCTTAAGACAAGGGTAAAAATCTAAAATTGACTCAATTAAAATTTAAAACATAGATTTATTATAATGATTTATTATTATTATTATTATTTTTCACAAACTTGTACATCGCAAAAGCGAAAATGGAGTTCTCGCATAAAATAAAATTATAATAATTGAAATCGTGAATTCTTTCTAAAATTAAACCAAACCAAAAGGCAACGAAGAAAAAATGAATAATAAAAAAATTCGCCGGCATGCACGTTGTGACTAGCCTGGCCAATTCATAGTTGCAAACACGTTCAGAAGAAAGTGATAGGATTGACTCTTTCAATCATTCAAAATTGGATGAAAGTACAGACCCCATTTCCCTTTGAGTTTGATTGGAAAAAATAATTATTTATGATTGATTGGAGCAAATGCCACTCATTCAATATTTAGTTGAGAAAAATGCATTTTGGAATGGTAATTTTTTGAAAAATAAGTGGTTTATAAAAAATGAAATTTTTTTGGAGTTAGTGTTGAATTAAAAGATAATCATGCTAATAAACAAGAATCACGTAATAATAATTTGATAAATCGAATTCATACATGCGGAAGACATTGTGGATGTGAATAATAGTAACTAGATCTTTTCATCCTTACTCCTAACAAAGTATTAACCGTCAATGGGACAAGCTAATAAAACTATATGGAGAAGAGAATGGACATAGCCTTTATATAGGAAATTATTGAGTCGTTCCATTATGACACAAACTCTAATTAGAATCTACATATATTTTCGGTCCATACACTTAAAATTACCAGATCATATAAAATATAACTTGTAACGTGTAAAATGATCCAATTGATCAATTAATATATTTGAGCTTAATCACAATATTATTATGAGCCATACATCTAACCTGTAAAATTTACAATCAAATAGGAAGTCAACGTTAGAATTATTCCAACAGTTATGTGTAATATTATTTTATTAAAAAATGTATGGTTGATAAGAAGATAGAAAAAAATGAATTATAATTTCAACGGGGGCTCTAAACATGGGTTCATTGAATGGCCAATTTTGCTACAATTACAACAAAAGAAAAAAAGAAAGGATTGAGAGGCAAAATTCTCACAGGAAAATATTTGACAAATTTTCATTGATTTTTGACACAACAAAAATAGAAAATGCACCATACAGATACTGCCAACGCAGTACCTATATCATTCATGTCAATAATTTCCTCCACGTGTGGAATTATTCTTGTATTGCAAACTTTTTATAGATAAGTGCTTGTTTGGTAGAAATTTTGTTAATTGATTTTTTGATCGTTAGACACAAAGTGAGTCCTATCCGTAAGAGAAAAATTCAAAAATGACAGCTGAAATAGTGAAATAATGGTAAAAAAAATTGATTTTAATTATCTTTTAATCCCTACTAAACATGCTCTAAGTCAATTTGTGATGTGACGACTATTCTTATAAAAAATTAAAACAAAACTAGTATAATAAATCTTGAAGGGTTGAATCGAACCATATACCTTGATAATACTTTATACCAATCGAGGCCACTTGACATGGGGATAGGACCAATTTGGTTCAAATTTAACCCATACTAACAATTATAAGAATTGATTATAGGACAATGTGTACCGAATAAAATCGAGTTTAAAGTTTGTGGAACACCAAACCCTACTAATTTATTAACAAAGTTGGCAAGCTCCAACTATCAATCACATGGATGAATAGCTATCACATATGTTAATTAATGGATGTACATATACATGTATGTACAATACCCCACCCCATTAAAATGTTCTCATAACTAACAAACATTACTTTAATCAGAGTGGTGAACAACTTTTTATTTCTCATAATTTCTTCCATTTAAAATTGGTTTTAAGATTTACCATTTAACCTTCCTCTAATTTCATCTAGAGATGTAAATTTGGTTCATCAGTTTGGACAGTTCATGGTTCGGCTCGAGAAAAGTCTGAACCGACTTGACTCGTGGCTCGGAGGCATATAGCCAAGGATCGAGCTGAGCCCCATTTCGAGGAATCGGCTCAAGCCAGCCTTGTGTGGGTCAAGCCGGCGGGTTATATATATATATAAAAGACAGTAAAAAAAAATAATATACAACAAATCTGCTGCATTTCTGTTGATTAAGGCAACTTACTCAAACAAACAACTATGAAGGGGAAAAAAATCGAGCCGATTCAACTTGATACGGCCCAAGCCTCGATTTTTTAGTTGAGCTTTTGCTCGGCTCAATTCAAAAAAAAAAAAAAAAAAAAAAACCAAACCTGAATTGACTCAACTCGATTCGTTGATACCCCTAATTTCATCCCACGGTCCACAACGACATGTTTTTTGGATGGTGAAATCTTGGCGGCAAATATATATAATTGAGCACAAAAAGACAAAAAATTAAAATATTATCTAGAAAAGGAAAAAAAAAAAAAAAACTCTTACAATTGTACTTCCAAGTTTTGGAGTTTGTGCATTTCTTCTTCATCTAGATGTCATCTACTCGTCACAATTTTTCAAGAATATTTTAAGCGCGAAGTAATTAAAATATTGGACACGTTAAAGGCGATACAATTAAAAAATTTAGCTTCCGTTTAACTCCAAATTTTTAAAACTCGTCCTTTTTATTTTGAATCATACATAATATATGATCCACAATCACATATATTATTAAAATCTATTAAAAATCTTATTTAAATCCTAGAACTTTAATAAAATATTAATTTAACACTTAAAAATTTTTGTGCGTACGTTCGTGTGTGTGAACTCTTCGTTTTTGTGTTGGAGAGATTAGGTGGAATTTATCTGTCCCATTAATTTGAAGCAATAAAATTCTATTTAAGGTTTGAACTTTGAAAATTGCAATATTGGTATTGTGTTTCTTTTATTATTTTAATTTTTTGGTACGTCTTCGTGGGGACATCGACTCTTTAAAAATTGTTGCTTGACAGCTTATATGGACTTGTTCTTTGTTTAATCGATTAGAATTTGCCTTCCAAATTTCTTTATTTATTTATCCTCTCTTTTCGAACCTTCTTGTTTTAACTACTATGTTACAATAGGTAATCGAAGTTAGTTCAATAAATTACGAAGAAACAACTCATTCTCTTGTATATTTATTACATTTATTTGAAATGGAAATCACTTTCATACTTTTTAAGATCCCAAATAAATGATTCTAGTCAATAATCACACAAAATGGATGCATCATATAAAGTAGTCATCCGCTATACATATTAAAATTAGAGATTATAAAACCTCACAAAAACTCTCATAATCCTCTGAACTCAAATTTAACACCCCAATTCTTATGAACATTACGAAGATTTATTTAGAAAATCATAAAAAACCTAACCAAAAAATGAAAGAAGAAGAAGGAAAAGGGTCGATAAAAAAGGGAATGGTCGATTGCGGTGAATAAATACTGTGTTTACATCTTAATGTTTGCTCCAACGACCAAATGGATAATCTTAGCAGCGTATTTGAAAAGTCAAAAGGTGCAAAAATTACAGTAAAAAGCTAAACATATGGATAAATTTTAATTGACAATTTCAATTCGATGAGATGATTTGTAGTACTTTTTCAATAATACTAGTCCTGACATGAATTATGTCTTTCAAAGTGCAACAATTATTTCCTTTGACATTGATCTCATAAACGAGTGAAAAATGCTTTAAACACAAATATTTTTTGAGATGAACACAATACTACACTTGTACTTAAGGATGAAAACATTTCCATAGTCCCAATTTGCTCGAGGCTTCTCCGTCTAAATGTAAAAGCATTTATCTGCTAGAGATGAAAACTATTATTTTTTATTATTTTTTTTCTATCTTGGGATAATTTCAGCTGAGACCCCAAACTTTTCAAATAGTGGCAAACTTTTCACTAACCTTTTAAATGTTGCAACAATCACCCAAACCTTTCAAATCGTAACAGATGAGACCCCAATGGATGGTTTCCATCCAATCTGTCGTTAGCTGACCCAAAAAAATTAATTTTGACCAAATTTTACTTAATTTTAAAAGGGTAAAATAGTAATTTAATATGTTTCCAACAAAATAATTAAAAACTTAAAAAAAAAGGAAAAACTATTTTCTTCACTCCCACCCCCAATCCCTCAAGCTCAGCTTTCAGATTTAAATTTCATCAATGCCTTCAATTTCGGAAGAACCCATCCTCGCCCCAAACCCAATTGATTCTGCAGGTTCCCAATTCAATATCCCCAAATTTGGAATACGTACAAGAAGGCAGAAGCCTCGTTTTGGACGGCGGAAAAGAAGTTGATTTGTCCCCGGATATACAGTAATTGGAAAAATTGACCAAGGATGAGAAGCATTAGATTAAGCATGTTTTTACATTTTTTCGTCGCCTCAGACGACATTATTTTGGATAACCTCGCGGGAGGTTCATGGAAAAGTTCAAAACTTGGAGGTGCGTGCTTTTTATGGGTTCCAGATCGCGGTTGATTGTATCCATTCCAAGATGTACAGTCTTCTTCTTAGGGGTTCCAGACGAGGGTTTACACTGTGATTTTGAGTGCTTGCTCTACAGCCTTTTGAGGTGAAACTGAGCGAGGATCGAGTCAAGGGTTGGCAGTGAGTGGGGGTGAAGAAAATAGTTTTTCATTTTATTTTTTTCTTCTTTTGTTTTTGATTTAAGTTTTTAATTATTCTATGGGAAAAATATTAAATTACCATTTTACCATTTTAAATTGGAGTAAAATGTGGTCAAAATTAAGTTTTGGGTCAACTAACGACATATTGGATGGAGACCCTCCATTGGGGTCTCAGTTGTTATTATTTGAAAGATTTGAAATGACAGTTGCAACATTTAAAAGGTTAGATAAAAATCTGTCACTGTTTGAAAAGTTTGAAGTCTCAACTGCAATTATCCATTTTTCTTCAACTTGCATAAATCATTGTAGTTGATAGACCGTGAAGCACTATAACCCCTTTTAAACGTGTAAAACGACCCCATTAGGCCACGTGGCATTGAGATGCTCTATGATTGCTCTCCAAGGAAACCCAATTATGTCATTACACGTTACACAATCTCATTGGCCCGCCTCAAAGTAACCGGTCTGCTGACGCTGGGCCGTCACTTTCACGGCCCAGAACACAACCAAAGAGATAAAACTTGGAAGTGGGTGCAGTGCAGTATGGACTAATCACTTCATGACGTTAAATTACAATTATGCACTTGATTTAGTCTTTGAATCATAACAATGCCATCGCTGTGATTAACCTCGTTTAAATGGTTTTGTTTTTGGAATTATAATTTTTTTTTTAGAGAATTAATATTTTGCTAATAAGTGAATAAATTCATTTACGAGTCTATTTTGAACATCTCTAATGAAATTGTACATATTGTTTGAAACACATGCTCGTGTAATTTCGATTTTTATTGAAATACTTTCGACTAGTCACTAGCTTCTTCGATTCAATTTCGATTAAAATGTAGTTGGTCGAATTCTCTATTCTATCTACAAAACTGAATTTTATTTCAATTTCAAAATTAAAATAATCATTAGAATAATTTATATGTTCATTACATTAATTAGAAAGCGTACACTTAAGAATCAATATTTTTATCTGAGAAAGCATAAAAGTGAAATGAGTAAATTTACATTATTTTTTACACTTTATAATATATTTTTCTGAATTACTAAAAAAATGAAATCAAGCAAGAACTCAAATCTTATCGAGACTAAAGAAAGGAAATGGCTAAACGGAGGAACAACACTTAAGATATTTACCGTTATCGGGATTTGACATTAAGATGTTCAAGGAAGTAATGTAGGGAATACTAATCACTAATTTAAGATTTGAGAGGGATATAATGATTGATAACACGCGTTAAAAATCAAGCCTTTGAACGCTAGATGATAATAATAAAATACTATCATTAAATAAAATTATGGATGGAGAATCTACTTGTTTAGAAATTAATCTCAATACTAGCTTACTACAATCGAAGTCGAACCATGATCTTACCAGTGAAGCAAATTTATAAAACAACAAATTCGTAACATATTTGGTTGAACTTAGAAATTGACTTTCTACAGTGTCACATAGAAACCTTAATTTGTTTCTAATCCATACTCCCCACGATGCAAAAACATAGCTTGGGGGATGGAACCTCCAATCTCTAATGCACTCATAGTGGTTCTCAAGCACCTTCAGGCATATCAAAGACGAGAGAGTTTTGTTGCAGAAAATGATATATTTGAAATTTTAAAAATGATTTGGGACTCTTGCTGCAATTGTGTAACTTTTTTTTTTTTTTTTTTATCATTTTTTTTTCATTTAGTTGCTTTCTTTTTTGTATATTTTAAGATGATGGTAAATTATATTTTTTTATTTATTTATTTTAAATAGTCAAAACGGACGAAAAATGAATTTTGCTATATTTTCGAAAGTTTAGGAATGGCTAATATTAAAAAAAAAGTTAAAGAATAAATTCAGGGACAGACCCAATTTAGGCTCAATAACTTAGCTTTGGGCCACCAGCCACCCCTAGCCACATTGGCTAGCTATGGTTTCTTCTTGAGGACATCCCGGGAGCCTTCATTTGAAGGATTCTTCCAGAACCAATTTATTGCGAAGCAAAAACGTCTAATGAAGATTCACAATTTTGATATTAACAAGTATAATGAGCTCAATAATAGTTTGTTATCCTAGTTCATTGGTCCCTAAGGAGAGTGCTGTATCATTTAGTACTTCATTCGGTAACGTCCACTAGACATAATTTTTGAGTTAAGAGGAAAGAAGAGTAACATGGTTTTCTCTCTTTTTTTCACTCTTTTATATGTAAAATATTTATCTGCAGAGCCTATTCTTCTGTATCTATGCACCCTCTTACTTCGTACAGAGCCTATTCTTCTTTGACCTTTTAGATTGGTTCTTTGGAGTTGGAGGAAATATTTTGTTTTTACTTTTCTACCTTTATTAATATCGTCCACACTAAAAAAAAATCCTAGTTCCACCATGAATAAATTAGGCCGCGGTTGGTTTGCCGTTTTCGGCCCATTTTTCGTTTTCCGTTTTCGAAAACGCAGAAAACGCATTTGGTCCGTCGTTTTCGAAAACGCATTTTCGAAAATGAGTTAAAATTTATAATTGAAAACGTAAAACGATTTTTTAGCGTTTTCAGTTATAAATGTCAAAAACACTTAAAACGTGAAAAACGGACCGTTTTCGGGGAAAACTAAAAATCGTTTTGAAAATGAAAATGAAAACCAACCCCACCCTTTGTAACAGAAGTAGAGAAACTACTCAATTAGTGAAAATTCCATATTTAAGGATGCAAAACATAATAACACCTGGAGCCTACCTATCATTGGGGCCTCATTCCCACCCCACTTTTCATTTTTCACTTTCTCCTTTTATCCTCCCATTTCTAATTTATTATCCCGTCGACACATATTTTCATCCCACGAGATTTGATGAGAAGTAAAATCTGACATCACATATTTTATCTGCATGCAAGGGTAATTACGTCAATTCAAAGCAGATACATTACATGCGTACAAAGAACATTAGAGTTAACGACTTGGCGTGTATGTACGAGTTGTTCGGTTGATTACTGAATAGATAGGAATGTGAACACAAAAGATAGTTGGCAAAAGCAGCGATTTCAGTGGAAATATACCTTATCTGCCCTTAATTAAATTATTGTTTATATTTTATTCTTGCAATAATTACTGTATTAAAATATTTTAACATTTTAACATTATTTTTTCATTTTCTTGGATTGTTTTGAAGCGGATGAATTGGGATATAGATAATGGAGCTGTGCTAGCAGACATTTCTACAACCATATTCCCTAATCTTGCTTTTGCAGATTCTTGTTCAATAGCGTCCATATGAATCAAAAGTCTGATTTTTTCTTCTAGTTTTTCTCATTCTCTCTACATTATTACTGCTTATTGCACCCATAATCTACTTATTTTAAACTCAAACAGGCTTGAAATTGAGTCAAACTCAAAACCTCAAACACCCACATGCTTGATTAGTTTGATTTCAAGATTTCATGAAGACCCTTTGAATGCAAGATTGTGCTGTCAGGTTCTTTGTCGGGTGTTTTGATTTGATTGCTATTCTTAAAATAATATTTGCTTAGTTTGTTTCTATCTATTTCTCCATCTGGATTTTTGGTCGTTATCTGAATGTTTTAAAGGAGCTGTTTGGAAATTGAAAAAAGCTGGAATCTTGGGAAATTCTTCCTCTGATGTGGGTGTTCAAGATGTTCTTTCCCTCAATTCTTGGTCTTTATCATACAAATTTGAAGCAATTTGGTGGATAAGATATAATTTTCTAACTGGAGGGTTGGGAGGTCGTAGATTCACATGAAATAGCATTCTGAATTTCACTTAATATCTTTAGATTCATACGAGCATAGCTGGAATTCAGAAAGTGTTTTCAATTTGGTATTGTTTGAGGTTATTTTTAGAGGTTAATTTCTTGGTTACGTGAGTTTATCCATGTAATTGGATTTGGCTTTAAGGTGGGTATCAGCTTTATGTCACGTTGCTGGTTTTTGTCTCTGATTTCTCTGAATTCGTTGAGTAATGGTGTTATCATGACTACCAAGACCGGTTGGCTTGATGATGGAGGACGGATATTTATGAAATTGTGGGATTTGATTTCGGAGAGTGGTTATAAGTTCCACCATCATTATTCCCAGTACATTGGGTCGAGAAAAGTTAGGAAAAATTGGTGGAGGAAGCTTTTATGGGCATGGATAGGGTTCTGGATCGCGGCATCAGTTTGGGTGTTCTGGTACATGAATTCGCAGGCTTACGAGAAGAGGAAAGAGACACTTGCGAGTATGTGTGATGAGAGGGCTAGGATGTTGCAAGATCAATTTAATGTTAGTATGAATCATATACAGGCTATGTCTGTTTTGATTTCAACCTTCCACCACGGCAAGAACCCTTCTGCCATTGATCAGGTAAAACTCACCATCTTTAAGCTGAATTTTGGTGCACCATATTAGACCGAATAGAAAATTCAGTATAAAATTAGGATGGTCTAATGGTGGATTAAGGTGGAATATTGTTTAATATTACAGTAAAAAAAAGAAAAAAATGCCATCTGCACTTTCAACCTTATAGTATAACGCACTAGATGGAGATAGTTTTAAATGGGATAAGATTACTCTTATGCATGATCATTTTTTTAACTAAAAGATAAAAAATTCTATCCTTCTTAAGCCACCATAACTCCATTCACGTATTACCATCTATTGTGATTTTTTATAAGGTCTAATATGATGCACCCAACACAACCTTAATATTTAAGTTTCATTTCTTTATGGAAGGCGGAGACTGTTAGTTCTTCACATGAATTGAGCAGTTCTTTGTGAATTGGTTTATCCCAGGGCTTTAATCCTTGTTTATAATCATTTCAAAGCTATCTATTTTCTGTTAATCGGACTGTTAATTTGCTTCTTGGTTTTCTGTTTCTAGCACATCGATAAATTTGGTCAAAGGAAAAGGTCTTGTGAGATTCTTGTCAATAATAAGTATAGGTGCTTATTTGGTACAGATTTTAAGCCAATTAAAATCAATTTTTTTACTATTATTTTATTATTTCAGCCGTCATTTTGAATTCTTCTTTCACAGGCACAACCCACCTTATCTCTAACGATCAAAAAATCAATTATCAAAATCCCTACCAAACAAACACTAGAACTCCTTACATTTTTTTAGCTTTAGGAGCTATATTCATGTGCTTTTCCTTCTACTCTCTAGTATCCTATCCACAAAAATTTAAACTTCAAAATCTTGCAGAATACTTTCGCGAGGTACACAGAAAGAACAGCTTTTGAAAGGCCCCTCACAAGTGGGGTGGCATATGCTGTAAGGGTTCGACATTCTGAAAGAGAGCAATTTGAAAATGAACAAGGCTGGACCATTAAGCGAATGGATGATGTCGACCAAACCCCAGTTCATGAAGATGAGTATGATCCAGCAGGCCTTGAGCCATCACCGGTTCAGGAGGAATATGCCCCCGTGATTTTTGCCCAAGATACTGTTGCACATGTAATTTCTGTTGATGTGCTCTCAGGAAAGGTATATTGAGGCGTTTAAATATAGCTAACATTCTGTATACTCCGATGATGTTCATTGTTTACATTTTATATGTTACTTTACGTTTGAAGTTGAAAGGAGAGCTAGGGAATAAAAAGATAGAAGACTTTATTATTATAAATCTTTGTGTTGACAGGAAGATCGTGAGAATGTATTACGTGCAAGAGAATTAGGAAAAGGTGTCCTCACTGCTCCTTTTCCGTTACTCAAAACAAACCGCCTTGGAGTAATATTGACTTTTGCTGTCTATAAAAGAGATCTCCCCCCTAATGTATCTCCAATGGAAAGGATCCAAGCAACTGCCGGGTATGTCATCTCACTTCAGATTGTGTGTAGATTATGCTCAAGCAGCCAAGATTAGAAGTAAATATATGATTATTTTATGAAGAGAAATTTTTATTTTTTTTCCCCCCTTTTCTATGTTAGACGTTCATTGCTGAAAAATGATTTCCCTTCCTAAACAAACAAATCCGTTAGTGACTTCTAAAATTCTTATTTTCGTAAACAGAGATAAAACAAAGTTAGAAAAAAGAAGAGATAAAACATAATTATGTCAACTTAAATTTGTCAAAACATGGTTAATGAGATATGGAGGTTGATCAAAAGACTTTTTTCATGTTTCTATTTCTTCATAGGTATTTTGGTGGAGTTTTCGACATTGAATCACTCATAGAGAAATTACTTCAACAGCTTGCCAGCAAACAAACTATCCTTGTGAATGTGTATGATACGACTAATATCTCCGATCCTATCAGCATGTATGGTTCAAATATGTCGACTGATGGGCAGCCTCATATCAGTGCTCTTAACTTTGGAGATCCTTTCAGAAGGCATGAAATGCATTGCAGGTGATCAGAACTGTCTTGTCTTTGAGCTTTTTCTTCTGAGCTTTGCCATATCTAGCTAGATAACAGGACAAGGAGACTGAATTTCTTATACATTAATTAGCTTTCAGGCATCAAGATAAGTGTGAGACATGGATTAAATTCATAAAAGATTCTGTTCTTAAAAATCCTCACTTTTAAATATCTAGTAAATAGACGGAATTCTGGATTCTCGATTTTCATATTCGTATGTTCCCACTGATAAACTATGCCTATATCATGATTCCATTGCTCATAATTAAATGCTAAAAATCATATTTTGTTAATACAGATTCAAACAAAAACTGCCATGGCCATGGATAGCAATAACAACATCTATTGGCATCCTTGTAATTGCGTTGCTCATAGGGCAAATATTCCACGCCACAATGAATCGAATAGCCAAAGTTGAGGATGGTTATCATCAGATGATGGAGCTTAAGAAACGTGCCGAGGCTGCTGATGTTGCAAAGTCGCAGGTTCTTGCTTTAATTACTTAATCAGTTAAATTTATATTAAACGTGTATGTGCAAATGCATCTAAAAAAAATTCCATATGACTGCAGTTTCTTGCTACGGTTTCCCATGAAATCAGAACCCCAATGAACGGCGTTCTTGGTGAGTACATAAATTCTTTCTTTTGCTGGTAATGTATTTCAGTATCTCTGATTTCTTGTGTTGATGAAAGTAAACCTGAAGAGATGACATCATTTGTTTATTTCAGGGATGCTGCGAATGCTTTTGGATACCGATCTTGATGAAACTCAACAAGAGTATGTCAGAACTGCACGAGACAGTGGTAAAGCTTTAGTTTCACTCATGAATGAGGTTTTGGACCAAGCAAAGATTGAATCTGGTAAACTTGAGCTGGAGGCAGTTTGCTTTGATTTGAGGGCAATTCTGGATGATGTTTTATCACTATTTTCTGGAAAATCACGAGGGGTCAAGGTATCCCATTTGAAGCTCAATCACGTGTATTCATCCCCTTCATGCAAGTTGGGCCCTCGATCACAAGAACACATGGTGGCACAGGTATTGGGCTAAGCATAAGCAAATGTTTGGTCCATCTAATGAAAGGTGAAATTGGGTTTGTAAGCTCGCCACAGATTGGATCCACCTTTACTTTTACAGCTGTTTTCACCACTGGCTGCTTCAGTGTGAATGACCAGAAGAGTCAGCAAATTAACAATCAGCCCATCTCCATTTCTTCAGAATTTCAGGGAATTACTTGTTATTTACACTAAAAAAAAGGGCTAAATTTTGAAGTTCCTGCATTTCATTGATTATATAGAACCAAAATTTCTATTTTGAGATAGAATTGGGTAGCTAAACCATTGCGACAACAAATATATTGCTTTTTTATGAGTTATGTTGAAACGATTTATATGCATGTTCTATCATGAATGTGTTGGCAAAAGTAAAGTATCTAGAAATCTAGAGGCTGTAGTTTATATTAGATTAATTTGCAAAAAAGAGAATTAGATTCTCTTTCCAATTTAATGTTAGTTTGGGGAAGCTTACGAAATTGCTAAAAAGTTGAGGTCAAAGCCAATAATTATTTTAACCATACATTTCACGTGACCCTCAACTTTAATAAACTTTTCAACCACACATTTCATCAGCTTTTATCAAGTCACAAAAACTTTTATCAATAGTGTCAAACGACCTCTTATTATTTTTCTGTGCATCACTTGTGCTTTTGCTGGGTATTCTTCGCTAATAGGTGACTGTTTGTGAATTCATTAGTGAGATAATTGGCTCAAATTATTAAAGTGCTATATTATGCTCTAGCATATGTTCAAAGCTAATAAGCAATTATGTATGCATTTTAGAAACTGTCAACTAATGATTTCACATACTGCTAGTTCACTGAGAAAGGACACATATTTGTGACTGTCCACCTTGTTGAAGAAGTGGTGGAGGAATCATTGGAAGTGGAGACAGAATCACCTTCAAGTGGCACTTTGAGTGGGTTGCCTGTAGCCGATAGACGGCTAAGCTGGAAAAACTTTAGATTTTTCAATCAGGAAGGATCTGCTACTTCAGTGTCATCATCCCCAACTGACCAAATTAATCTGATAGTTTCGGTAGAGGACACGGGTCAAGGTATCCCATTTGAAGCTCAATCACGTGTATTCATCCCCTTCATGCAAGTTGGGCCCTCGATCACAAGAACACATGGTGGCACAGGTATTGGGCTAAGCATAAGCAAATGTTTGGTCCATGGATGGATATGTCACTAAACCATTCGAGGCTGAGCAAGTATATCAGGAAGTTTCCCGCTTTTTTCACACAGATTCAAATGAGGATTCTTGTGAAGGCTTTTCTGATCGATGCTCACGATGATGCAAGTAGAATGCACGTTCTTCGAGGCACCTCACAGCGTGTTCAAATTCGTAGTAAATTTTTCCCAACTGTGAGTATGCAATTGAAATCTATTTACCATATTTGCTAATCTTGATTGTATTCTCAGCAGTATTGTTCTTGTACCTTCAGGAAAATGTGTTTTCTTCAATCAAACCACGATGTATATAATCGTCAAATATTCTTTAGTGAGGATTTCATTATGTACCATTGGTCGTGGATTCAAAGAGCCTGTAGGTGGACACGACTTGGCAAAGTGCCTGATGGACTAGTGTGCCCCGTGTATGCTTCATATTGTGTTCCAGCGGAGATCAAATTTGCAAATATTGTGGAAAGTCGCATTCTTTTTCAGCAAAGTCGTGCACTTAGGAAGTCATGTTTGCATAATAGAGAGAGCAATTTAGGATGATAGATGTAATGTATAGTCGACAATAGCAGGAATAAAATGTCTCGTGTACATTGTGAAAATAGGACGAATTCGTAGTGGCCAATGTACTCATTGGTATGGATTGTAGTGAGCAAAATGTTTGTTATTGCAGGCTTTTTTCTTCTTCTAATGATCTCTTCGCTTAATTCACTATAAAGTTTTATATAGTATTATGTATCCATAAATGGAACGAGGGATAGAATTATATGGAAAATGATGATGATGGGCAGATGCGGGGACTGAAAATATCAGTTGTTATAGAAAGCATAAATGGAGGTCATAAATGTGAAATTGACACTTCAGAGTTAAAAGCATTTTTAAAGGTTAAATCCTAACCTAAAGGGTCTCCCACCACCCCTGCTTTGGAGTATCGTGAGGGAGGTAAATCGCAGGTTATGCCTCCAAGGATACAGGGTGGAAGGTTGTTTGTACACTTGTACTTACCTAAGAGCCAAATCCATATTTCAGGATTCGAACCCTTGACGTAGCAATCTCAAGCAAAGCTGGATTTCTCTACCCTCTCCTTTTATCACTTGGAGATGTGCCCTGGGGGCGAGTTAAAAGCATTTTTGCCTTTATTAATGGAAGTCGAACTGCATTTGGGCCTTCCACTTTGTTTGTCGAATTAAGATAGATTTTAAATTGAGGAAATTACAGGAACTAAGAACTTTAGAGATCCTATTTCACAGATCAGAAGTTATGTTTACTTTTTCAAAAATAAGAGGTTTTGTTAATTATTTAATTTATAAAATAAATATATTTTACCAAATATAGCTACAGCGTATGTTTTGGATATATGTATATGTATATCAAATTGGAGAGAGAAACACGTATATATCTCATAATTTGATTCAACATTGTATGAGTCTATATTCACATTTCAAATTCATAATTCTTATACATGGTATTCATGCACTCTCAACCACGCATTCGACAATGCTCGAAAGTGAAGATGGTGTTAGAAAGGAGCGGTGATGAGAAATATTGAACGAAACTTGCTGAGAAATCACAAAGACAACCAGAAAAAAGGAAAATCACAAAGGGTCACAAAGATGACATACGCAAAAACCTAGTTCTAAGTAGGTAAATCAATTTTGTATTTGATTTAGGTCATGGGCAATTTTTTTATGAAATTATTTGGGTGTTTACGGCTCGGGTACTTGTCAATTTTACAATTTGTGACCTAATTGTCAAAAATGTGAGAGAGTGGTTACATAGTTGACATATTATCCTACTCATTTTCCTTTTATTCATTTTAACCCTCGAATTTGTAGTGTGACTTTATTTTCCGTTAGGTGTTCGATGAAATGTTTGGGTGAAGAAATAATGAATTCAAACTGTGCAATATCATTACACTAATAAGCAATTGATTTTTCTAGAATTTAACTTTGCAAATTTATTGAGAAAGTAGTCTGATGGTAAGTTTGATAGCATGGTCTCAATTTTACTAATAAACCAAACAACAAGAACCTTTCTTGATTATTAATTTCCATTTTATATATACATCTCTCACGAGTAATAATGGCTCTCCTTATTTTCCCTTAAAACTGATAATGGTGCCAATGTCACATGAATGCATCACGTGGGCTTTGGAATTATTTAATCTTTGTGACCATTTTGTTGTCTTTTATGACCAACCATATGTTGTGATTACGTTTCTGAGTATGAACACTTTTGTAAATAGAAAGAATTTAACCAGGTTTTGTGACATATATTGTCTGTTACTAGTATAGAGGTTGTGACCTTATTTGTGTCTGACTTAGAGCTGGGCAAATCTTTCGAATCGAACCGATCAAATCGAATCGAACCGAATCGAACCCGACGGTTCTTGTCAAATTAAATACCCAAACTGGTATCTGAATTGAGAACCGACGGGTACGGTTCGGTTCTCGGTTCTAGATCAAGAACCAAAGAACCGAAAAAGAATCGAATCTTTCTATTTTTTTAATATTGAATAAATCAAATTATTTTAATTTTATTTTTTCTAAACAAATTAACAATTTTCAAATTCAAATTTTTGGCTCAATAATTTGTTTCATTTCTAATTTTTTGCCTAATTACCCATTTTATTGTTTCATTTCTTAGCCCAACAAAATCCAATCCAGTAATTAACCCTAAACACCTACACTAAAGTGTACAACGCTGTCTTGACTCTCTTGCTCACTCTCACAGCCTTGCTGACATTTCAAAACCTATACAATTTCCGGCCGACGTTGTGACTTCTGATCGAAGCTGTGACCTCCATCAACCGAAATTTTGACCGTAGCGATCATTTGAACAAGGTAGTCTACTAATCTCTGACATTCCAAAACCATTGAATGTGTCATTAGTTGTATTTATATAATGTTGTTATAAATGTTAAAAAAATTAATTGTAGTACAAAACGAAACGGAACGGAATCGAATTGAACCAAACAGAACCGAACCCGAACAGTTCCATAATTATATTTGGATCTGACGGTTCCATTTACTAGATACCCGAAAATTTTGGTTCGATTCGGTTCTCTTTCTAAAGAGAACCAAACCGAACCGACCCGCGCCCACCTCTAGTCTGACCTGTTGTAGAGTATGTGATTTGTTCAATGTTAGCGTGCCATGTTTAGTATAGTATATTGCGGATGTTTGTGACATGGATGTATATACAAGAAATCAAATACTAATTTTTTGTTTGTTACTTTTCTCCTGTATTGTAGGATTGGGAGTATATTATACCAGAAGAATTTAGGTTTTCGGGCAAAATCTCAACAAACGCAATAAAAAATATGTTGTCCAATTTTTCGTCACATTTTAGTGATGAACAAAAATATATTTTTATTTGTCTATTTTGTAACCGAAACAAAACATTTGAAGTTTTATCAAATTCTGTGACGTTGTATTTTATGATTCATGTAAATATGGATGTTAAATTTGATATTCATAAGCTCTGTTTATTCATTTAATTATTTATTTTGAATTTTTATTTAGAAGTCACAAATTATTGGTAAAGATGATTGGCAGAGATTTTGAAGTCATAGATGTTGAAGTCACATATTTTTAACAATTGACAAAAACTTTGTACTGTATAAAAATTCATATACATATCAAAATTAAGTTACATTACAAGTCACGGGACACATCTCCTTCAAAATAAGTCATATTTCAAGTCAAGCACATACTATTGCCAATATGTCATTGATTATTGGTAAAAAATATTGGCACAAATTTTGAAGTCTCAGATTATTGGCACATCTATTAAAGTCACATATTACGGTCACAGATCATATAGAATGTGAAAAAAAAAAATTCATGTACAAATCAAAGATAATTTTATTATTTTACAGAGGTCACATATTGATTTATTCAAGTCAAATTTCATATTTGAAGTTACATTACATTGTTTATAGGTCATAGCTCATAAAAAAAGTGATAGATCACTTTAATGAGGTATTTAAAGAAAGAGATTCATGTCCAGATAAAAAATAAGTCACATTATAATTGACAAGTCACAGCTACTTAAAAATAAGTTACATTACAAGTCAATCACAAAATGGTATTGCTAATAGGTCATAGAGCAATTCATGTATGTACCCTAAAAACATATTCATTTATGGATCAAAATATCACGTCACATTTTGAATGAATATTATTTGTACAATTAAACATGTACAGTTACATGGTATGCCAAACACTATCAAATAGCTGAATGTTGAGGTCACATTGATGAATTAAGGTCATAGAAATTTATGTCATATCACCCAAATGAAAAAAAAGTGACAGATAAGACCCTACTCTATTTTTATAAATTTCCACGAAAAATGCTAGACATAGATACAAATGCAAGTCACAGCTACTGCAAGTCACAGTTATTGAAACTATACATATAAAACTACCTTTACAAAAATGTACAGCATGAAATAATAAATGTCACATTTTCTTTTTCAGGTCACATATAAATTCTTACACATGGTCATTCTATACATTATTTTCCATCAAGTTGTTTCATACAAGTCACTGGAGAACTAAAAAATCCAAGTCACAAATATCAATGTCAATCACGACTAATGCAGGTCACAAATTAGTTGTGTTCAAATACAAGTCATAGGAGAAATCATAAATTTAAGTCACAAATATCAATGTCAATCACGACTAATGCAGGTCACAAATTAGTTGTGTTCAAATACAAGTCATAGCAGAAATCATAAATTTAAGTCACAAATATCAATGTCAATCACGATTAATGTTAGTCTCAAATATCAATGTCATAAATTAGTTGTGTTCGAATAGCTGAATGTTAAGGTCACATTGATGAATTAGGTCATAGAAATTTATGTCATATAAGAGAAATGAAAAATAGGTCACAGATAAGACCCTATCCCATTTCTACAAATTTTCACGAAAAAATGCTAGACACAAATACAAACACCAAGTCACAGCTACTGCAGGTCACGGTTACTTAAATAATGCATATAAAACTACCTTTACAGATCACATTATGAATTAATGCATGTAACACTACATTTATTAAATTCCACATCATGGAATCATACAAGTCATGTTTATTATTAGAATTCACATAAATAATCCTAATGATCACAGTGATTCTCTTCATTATCATCAATAAAATGGTTCAATATTCACCACAAATAACAATTCAAATTACAATGAATGCAAATCATTAACATAAACTTTTGATTACAACGCATGGCATTCCTACATCGGTGGGAGGTTAAATTCAAATCACTAACAGTGACGATGGAAGCTTCAAAATCATTTCATAAATTCAAAAAATTGGAATTTGGCAGGACCAAACATTGATAAGCCACCAATTGTGACTATGATAGCATTCAGACCCAAATCGAAGCAATTGCCGTATAAATCAATACAAAAATTCTGAAATTTAATCAGCAGCCACCAAAAATTTCACCTACTGTGATTAATATTTTGCATTTTGCTGATCGGATTTTTTCAATAATAACCAATACCGGATTTTGGGATGGTAGAGATATTATGATACAAATCTGTAACTTTTAGCTTCTTCGTGATGAATTTGTCTTTCCAAGGAAGTGAAGTTTGTATTTTAGGGAGCCCGATTTCATATGGTAAGTGGAAGCTTGATTTCAGGGATTTGAATATTAACTGAATCAGTTTATATATATGATTCTTTTAAGGGTAAAATTCACAATTAAGGTATTAAGTATGGACAATGCAATTTTCATGTCTAAAGTTTTGAAAATGCAAAAATCAGGTTTTCATTTATTAAATAAATAGATTTTATTAATTGAAAATAATAAGGTCACATATATACCATTAATGGTCACATACTCATAATTAAACAAACTTGTTTATTGGTCACGTATTATCAAATTAACTAGTCACAGATTATTTCGAGGTCACAGATGAAAATTTTTATAGGTCATGATTTATTTAATTGGTCATAGATAAAAAAATTATAGGTCACAGTTTATTAATCAATCACATATTTTTGAATTTGTTGGTCACAATTATCAAATTTTAAGGCCACAGTTAAATAATTGGTCGTATGTAATGAAATAGTTGGTCACGGGTAATCAAACAATCAGTAACAGGTCAAATAATTGGTCACATTACATACCACCACCACCCTCACCCCGCCGTCGCCGACACTACCACCACTGCTAGTTCCACTAACAACAATAACCACCCAATTTCCCCGACACAACCAAAACACCACCACCACCACTCCCTCAACCAAGAAAACACCACCATTCCTACTTGCACCACCACCAGCATGTCCACTACCCCAACACCGCACAACCACCACTCCATTACCACCACCACGATAGCATTAACACCGCCAGAGGTAACACACACATTACCACCAACACCCCCACACATACAACCACAGGCAGATCACATAGACTCGCCACTAAATCCATGGTATCCACCGCACCACCATCAACACTTCACCTGCGACTGTTAGCGTTCAATGTTCGGCAACAGATTGCAACAGGTCATGATTCTCGCAACAAATCGCCGCTCAACATTATGAAAAAACTAGTCGCCATATTTGATTTGAAAAGCGGGGGCAGTGATTCTTCTCCGTTTGTCAGAGGAGTGTCGCTGCACCATCAAAACTGAGGAGGTTTCTTCCAAGGCTCGCCTCCGTCGTTATCGTCGTCACCATCGTGAATCGTCGTCAACGATTGAAATAGTGGTGTTTCAAGATAGAGAGAAGGGAGAGTATGAAGACGGTAGAGAGAGAAAACATAACGTAAAATTAGGGTTGGGAAAATTGAATTGAGAGAAATTAGTATTTAAATTATTAAATCAAACCTGATTTTTGCATAATGAAACTTAAGTCATGATTTTTGAATTGTGATATTTAAACCCATGGATTTGTGTAATTTCCACTTCTTTTAATTACAAACCTCTCATTTGAGAAGTGAAGTCGGGCATACTTCATGTCTGGGTTATGAATTTTTCCCTTTTAAATTCTTGGTTGACACCAAGGATGACATCTTCCTAGGTTGAAGGAATATGGACAGCGATGAAATGGATGTGTTTAAAGTCCATAGTGTAGATTGGTGCCACATGTTAGTAGGAGTGGACAAAAAAAATCAAAAAATGACCAAATCGATCAAATTGGTGTGAACCAAAAAATTGGTTTAGTTCCGTTAATTTTAATTTTAACCATTAAAAAGTCGGGTTGAGTTAGTTATGGTTTAAGCAACCAACTCATTAATTAACCGACCCAACTTCCAAATACATTTTTTTTTTTTTGTATTTTAAAATTCATCTTTTTCAATGTAAAAATCAAACAAATATACTTTTGTATCAAATAATTTGTTTATTGTCTATTTTTTCTACCAAAACTTTAAATATCAAAAGTAAAGAAAGCAAGAAGAAGTGTTTGAAGTAAACTTTGAATTTAGATTGTAGCCTTGCTTTTATTTTGAAGTAATTATTTGTTGATAATTATCGGATTTATATATATGATGATTTTGAAAAAAATTGATTCTTTATCATTTAAATTATATATATTATTGATATGCATTACATAAGAAAAAAATTTATATGTATAAATTTTCTTTTTAACCCAATACATGTTGACAATTTTTTTTACTCACATAAATTTCAAATCGACCCAAACCGATTTGGTTTGGTTTCAACGATTGGATTGGGTCAGTTTGGGTTGAAATTTATTCAAACCGATCAAGTTGGTTTCGTTTCAAGTTGAACTCAAAATCAACCCAACCCGAACCACAAAATAAGCAATAAAAATGGCCCGTCGACTTGGCAACAAGGGTCAGGCCACCTTGATATCTTACCTTTTTGCAACATCTATCAACTAGTTAGAACGAGAAACAAATGAAAGTTTACGAGTTCATAATTAGAAACAAGTATTTGTTTTTGTTAAGACTTAATGTACCATCTTCAAAGATTAAAAAAGTAGCATGATCCATTTTTATATTTGATTTTATTATAATCGTTCCTTTATTCGGACATCTCATGTTAGACAACATAGAAACAAAGTCAACATACTTGTGCCAACATAATTCATATATTTTTACCAATCATCTCTCATATTATACTTTCTACACCTTATTCTTCACCCGTAGTCTAAATTTATAATTTGTTGTCTTCTATAATTTGTAATGAGTGACCAATAATTTTGTTAGAAAATATTTTCTACTAATTAGGATACTTCTGTAATCTCTATTTTTGTAACTATAACGTGATAGATCGTGCATAATCATCATCAACAACATATAATTCTTACTTAATCTAGATGAGAAACCTTGTTGTCATGTTCTGTTTGAGGACATAAAATAATAGGTAAAGGTAGTGCTAACTGACGACAATATATCTTTGAAAAATAAAATTATTGCAATTAAAGGTAATGTTAGTGATGAACCTCTTTTTAACACTTCGAATTTGTTAGTATCTATTTTAGTTGTATCTTCTCATACAACACTATATATAGCTTGACTCCGTCAGGGTTTTATCAACGAAATGTGTTGTTAGTGTTGCAAATTAATTATTACTTGTGGATGATAATTGTACGTTTACAATCCTTATCGTAATCATTTATAAATATATGATTTTGATTCTCTGTAAAATTTACTCTAGAGTTTTGACTCTTTCTTATCCTTTTTTTTTTTATCTTAGTTTTATGACACGTCATCAACGCGAAGTTCAAGCCAACTGACCCTTATCATAATCATAAATCATTTATAAATTACACAAAATCGATATGTATATATTATTTTCTTTTATTATGTCATTGTCGCTGTATTTTTTGAACATTATTTTGTTTCTCCTAAATTGCACAACTTTATAGATTAATATTCATACAAAATATTATATTATTATCCTGAAGAGGCATAAATACTTTTATATTAAATTTTTGAAGAATATTGTATCCCCCATATTTTGTAGGAACCAACAGCCACCCATTTGAAGTAACAGCCACCCATTTTTACTTCAAATGAAAAATTCATTAATTTCCATCAGAATTGGGAACCTCTGACAGCCCTGATTTTGAAGTGAAACTCCTCGTCTACCAAGATACTCTACAATTGTTTGTGCAATGAATAGATTCCACAGCACATATTTCCTTCTTTACAATTGCAGATGAAACCAAATGTAAATACAGCGTACACTTGAAATCAGTTGCTAGTCTTCATCACTGGAGTCCCAACCTAGCAAGTCCTCGATGGGAAACCCAGGAATTCTAAGACCAGGAAGGGGAGTCGGCTCGGGGATTTCCCTTTCCTTTGCAGAAACATGCTTAGCCGCCTCTTGAACAATACCATTTTTGCGGCTTTTTTTAAACATCCCGGTGATCATACGGCCAATGGATCTCAAAGGGTTGCTCAAACCATCTTTAACTTTCAAAATAAGAGAGACTTCAGACAGTTGCCATGCAATGGTTAAAACAATCAATGCTGATAGAAGGCAGTGGGTGACAAAATTCTGCTTCTTCAACTCCTTAAGCTCTTTGGTTATGTCCTCATTTGTGATACCAGAAGTACTATTGCCCACTGCATTTGCAGTCGCACTCCTTTCACTGTTTTTGGAAGAATGTACGTGCTCTTCATCGGCCAACTCCCCGGATTTTTGAGGGATGCCGTCCAATGATTCTAACTGTTAATGTAAGTAATTGGAAATCAAACAAAATAAATTAGTTTAGGATGCAAAGAAAGAAACCATTTTCCACAGATATGCAAACTGTCAAAAGAAAATGAATGGTAGAAAATCAAAAAGGAATTATTTCAATTGATGAATATAGATAATCAAATAATGGTCTTGTTTATCTGTGTAGTATAGGATGTACTCGCCCTTCTGGGATACCTATTGAAGAACCTATTCCGGGGTAGGTGTGAGTGCAGAACGAACAATTTTAAAGTAGACTTCATATTCGTTAGATTAATAAGATCAACAAGATCTCATGATCATCTGTTGTCTGTCCCAAGAGCTCGGATTGATCATTTCCAAGCTCTCTTATTTCCCGCTTGGAACTAAAATTATAAAACAGAGGATCCCCTAGATTTCATAGGTGTATAGTTCAGAGAACTCAAATGGAGTATTCCCAAGCTCATCCATTTTAGCAAGGAATTGAAATACAGAACCTTCAAAACTCCGACTTAGTAATGTTAATTCTTCGCTTAATTTACTGTGCTAGTTGGTATTGGCTGGCGAGAATTCTCCAATGATTATGGTAAAAACAACAAGTTTCTAGCAAGTAAAATTGATGTTGGGAGCCTATAGCCATGGAGGAGGTTATCCAGAATCAAGCCGGAGCCAACCCCCATTTACAGTAAGAATTCTACTTCCACAAAAATTGCCAGCCATGAGCATTTTAACTGTAACTTCCTTTTCCAGTAAACCAAATGAACACAGCAATTGCTTTAATTACGAATCCAACCTTTTAGCACAAGTAATATAAAATATGCACGTGCTTCCCAATTCCCAATTTCAATTATAGCAACTACCCAGAATTACATTGAGGCAAGGTAGCTAAATTAATCAACCAGAAACCACTCACACTCTCGTTTAATAACAGAGAATCACGTACATGTAAGTATAGTTTGGTACCTGAAAAAGCATTTTGGAGAGTAGCTGGCGGCGTCGCCCACCAGTACTTTTATCATCTTCGCTGTCCACCGCCGCATAACTTTCAAGGAGAGAAGAGGATCTACTGGGGTTGAATTTTTCATCCTCCAATTCCATTAATTGCTTTATAGCTCGTTGAATCGCCTCCATTTTTTCTGCTTCCGATTCCGTTTTCGTTTTCATCACTCTCTGAATCTTTCTCTAGCCGCAAGGATGTAAATTTGACTTGCCAACCAATCCAAGTGAAGTTAATAGATTGATTTTGTTAAGCCGTCAAGCTTAACCATAAAGATTTCGACACGTTACACATGGATTTTGTTGCTTTCCACTTGGCAGTATATTAGCTCGAATCATGAAATATGGATACCCTTGATCTCAAAATCTACTCCAATGATCAACAGAATTCATGTCATCGTTGTTGTAATTTTTTTTCTGTAGTCGCTACTCTTTGAGTGCGCATTGAATAAACTCTCGAATTGACGTAATAGTCTGCAAATCACGCCAGTCAGGTAAATAGCACTAGACAAGTCCTGTACGACAAGCTCGATCGAGAAAGCGTTAGTAGGGAGAATCGAACTCGTGTCATCTCTTCATCCATCTAGACATCCATGGTATAGAAGTCACCGATCTAGAAAAAAGTTCATGAGATCATTTATATTTCGATGATGAAGTTAACTGTCGATATACAATAAGTTCAAGAGAGATTAATGGGGATTTGACTACAATTTAAAGCACGTACGAGTGAATGAACTTACTTTATATGAGAAGAAATGGGTCCATGAATTTAGTTAATCGGGCCCAAGTCAAAGAAGATGTTGCTTGATTTGATCGGTTCATTCTAATTAAAACCATCGATGTCCAGTCAACTAACGTAGAACCACTCCACCACGCAGATGCCATATAATTTATAAATATAACATGTAGTAACCATTATTGAAATTAGTTTCTCAATAAATGCAAAGTCAACAGTATTAACTTTTCCTTTTTTTACTTGTTAGATGTACCAGATCATGCATGTTTTTCCTCCTACGGGGAAAATCCAAAAATATAACAAAACTAGCAAGATTATTTTTTCCCGTGATAACCCCTTATCCATCCAGAATGTAATATAACTGAATGCTGAATGTACTGCTCTCTGCTGCTGTTCATTAACCAACATTTACAAACCATGGTACACAATGATTAAGCTGGAAAACAGCTTAGCCTTTAAAATTTACAGAAAGAAGCCGAGTTTATGATTATCAGAAATTGCAACCATGTCCGCTGATAAGCAGTGTCATTTTCCATATGAAAATTGTCACCACGAGTAGATGATGCTGTTTAGGATTCTGAAATTTCAAGCTCGGCCTGCCACATTTTAAGATTAATGCTAAGTCAATGTCCACAAACTTCATGAGAAAGAATAGAGAATGGAACGTTATTCAGTTGGCCATCAGACGTTTGAAGTTTTAACTAGAAGCATTTAGAATGTATATAGCTAATGAAGCTGAAGCTGGCGATATACTACTTCCACCCCGAACATTAAGTTTATTTGGAGACATTCATTTTAATATCACCAAGATTTCATTCAACTTCCCATAGATTTTTTTTATATTAACTGTTCTTGACTTTTTATTTTGGCATAGAGATTAAGAAGAAATAAGATTTTAATATAAAAAGACATGCTCGTGATCTTGAGACAAACATAGAGGATGAAAGCAATTGTTTTATGAAGCTCTTTATTACCTTTGCTTGAAGATATTTTTCAAAAATACGCCTATATTGTTGACGTGCCTCTGGACATTCGACCATAGACAGCACCCTGGAGACAGCCTCCTTAATAGCTACATCCACTATTTGCTTACGAAAAACCTTAAGAATATCTTCATCCTCACTTTCCTCAATGAATTTGTCGAGCTGAAATCCCCGCAAGCCAACTCCTCGCCGGCGCCACCTCAGCACTACCTTCTCCAATATACTAGCTGCCCAGCATACCTTATAATACCTCCTAGTCTGATAGCCTCTCACATGGGCCTGCCACGAAAAGAATTAGATAAAAGCCCCATCATATAACCTTTTCAGCTAATTCATTGAAATGCTTTGGTGAATTTCGTATATATCCCAAGTTCGATTATCATTTTGACCGGGGGTGGGAGGATCAAAAGACGTACTTGCCAAAGGGAAATTAAGTGGTAGAACATATTCTGTGAAATGCATTTGCAGCCTGCAGTATCATTTATTTAGTAGATTCGTAATTTTAAAGGCCTACGTCTTTCACGTAATAGATATTTTCCTTGATTTATGTGCTCAATACCAAGGATGCCATTTGGAATGGCAATTAATCTTCTTTAACCTTAATATTTATATATGTGAACAAAAAGTCAACCCTCAGCATTTTCGGTTCTAAACTTCACATCCTGTACAAGTCAGTCAAAGAACTAACGATTTTCTTGCTAAAATTACTTGTACAGATGAAGATAGAGACTGAAATGGCATCTTTTAAGATAAAAGAACTAGACAGATTTTGGAAGGAATCATCTAATGAGACTGCATCCTACTCATCGAGATTCATATACTAGAAATATAAACAATTTATTATCTTCTCGTATATAAGTAAAATATGCTTGGAAAGAAGTGATGCACCTGTATCTTCACTGCTTTCTGGCGATATAAAAGGAAGTTCTTCCTCCTTTTCCAGCCTCGATATTTCTTCTGAATAGACAGAGCAGCCTTGTTGTAGTCACGTGTATTACGAAATGTAACTTTTGACGCTGCCGAAAGACCCTGCACATCCTTTGATAATATACTGTACTTATCTCTACTAGCATCAGCAATGGCAATTGCAGCTTCTCTCTGTTGCCTTTTCCGAAAAGAACGTGCACGAAATGCTGATTGAATACGTGAAGCAGCCTGAGAGGCATTCCAGACTGCAGCTAAGGTGTACTTCAGAGAGTCATGATCATTCGCAGAAGAGCTTGCTTTTGATACACTATGTACTGTTCTTTCTGCTTCCAGAGCAGCAGATCCTTTAGATAGCTCACTTTCTTCCAGTGTGAGGGATGAGAGATGTCCAGTTAGTGCCATTTCTGAAAGATAACCTGCAAGTCCCCTATGCCCACTTGAAGCAGCGATGGATGCTGGAGTTTTACCGGTTGGGTCCTGTGAATTAGGATCTGTAACTGCTCCAGCATATGCCCCACATGCTATGAGAGCGGCAACCATTTTTTCCCTGTTACAAATATAAAACTTTACATAAATCATGCTTTCAAACAATAATAATAAACAATTTACTAAGGAAGTCTTCCATTAATGGCTCTAGCATAAACAGCAAGAGATTCATTTTTTAACCCCTTCCGTTCACAAATTGACCAGACTGGAACATAAAATTAGTGATAACTGATATGTCTATTGGTGCTGTTTGGTTATGCAATAACAATACCTCAACCCGAATACTCTAAAACATGTATTTCAAAGGGACAAAAAGTTTAACTTAATTCGGTTTGAAATAACACCGAAGAGTTGAATGTCTGTCGTAATCTAGGATATTTGATTATATTTCCTAATCTAGGAGATTTGACTTGTACATAATTATACATTCGTAGAATAGGAGATTTGTTGTAAATTACCTTATTTAGAAGATGCAATCCTATTATATAAAGGAGAAGGACAACCTCAATTGAGGCATTCAATATAATTAACACTGAAGAAACAAAAGTTGGAGTTGCATTTCTGTCATTTCCTGCACCTGTTCTTATGTAATTCAAGAAATTTCTTTGTATTTTTGTAATTATAATTTGAGTTATAGAAATATCTCAAACAAGAGTTGAATGCAACTTCACCGTGTAAAAATGCCAAATGTCATGAAACTGACAGATATACATGAAAATGGTAAAATAAGATAAGACTTACCGCCCAAAATGTGCAGCCCAGTGAAGTGCAGTCCACCCATTGATATCACGAAAATTTACACCGACTCCAGAACTGAGAATGGGCTGTAGCGCCCACTCAAATCCCAATCCAGCAACGATGTGTATGATCCCAAGTTCTTTCTTAGATAAATAAGAATCTAGCTGGTTATTTTCTCGTAATCTAGAAGAAAGCCATTGTTCTAACTTGTCCTTCAGAAGTTCCTGTAAAAGCCACTCCGTAACATTTGATGATGTTGAAGTGCCAACTAAAAGAGCATCAATGATTTGGCTCCACGAGTTTTCAGCCATTTTGGTCTTGCTCAACAAATCAATTCTAGATTCATGGCCATCTCCTTTTTGCACTGATGGATCAGAGAGAAGCATATGTACGAATCGGACAAGCAACAAGAGTTCTTCTGAGCTCTTGCTAGTCTCTGTTCCAGTGATATTACTGTGTGCGCAAACACTAGGCTTAGCAACATATTCGAATTCCCTAACTTCACTGCAGGACACCCGATTTCCAGAAGTAATGCAAAGAGAGACTTTTCCAGGCAAGTGAGGAGGAACGTTGCAGCGAATAACACCTTCTTGAATGATCTGGGCAGGAACTTCAACGTCACCAAACATACAAGCCCATGCACACTCTGACGAACTGCAGAGGAAAGACCCAATAATAACAACCTGCAAAGAAGATTTTGAACCTTGAAGAGCCGTGTTCAAAAATTAATGGTGACTTGATAAACTCAAAAAGAAATTCAAGGATCACTTATTCACGTTGTTGGATTCATGTCATATTGCCTAGAATTCAGAAAAATCCAGAACGATCATAAACATTTCAACCCGTAATTGTTACATGTCTGAGATAGATGGGAAGTTGAAAACTTGAATCCCCAGGTTGCGAACCGATATCCAGTCAAGCCACAAAGAGTTGGCACATTTCTATATCCAAGAAAAGTTTGGAGAAAGACAGCTTAAAGCATGGATGTTTATTTTGCAAAAGCAACCGTGAAAAGTTCTAATGAAGTTTCTACCATTCAAGTCTTGATTATTTTGAACACTGCTCCTTTTTCTTGACGGGTCCTTATTTACAATCTTATCTTCATACCCAAACAATGAATTCAACTTCTTTTAAGTTACCCAGTTCGAAGAAAATTATACCTCATGACACTATATCCCATATGAAATAAACATGAAGTCACGAACAGAAAACCAAACACTTGCAGATGAAAATGCACTGATATAAAGCAAAGAAATGGGATGAAATGTAGTTAAGTACATCTATATAGACTAGTGGATGTTGTACTCAGCCTCACTTTTGTGAGATAATCTTCTCGTGTGTATTGCCTTACAAATATATGATATTACAAAGCTATACAAGGTAAGTAATTAGCTGTACAATAGGAATCAAATCCCAGATCCTAAGCTATGTGATTAGGCTATAAAAGGAAATTAATAAAGTAATTTGCAGTAAATAATCCTTTGCTGAAAATAACCTCTAATACCCCCTCTCAAATTGATGTTGTGAGTCCATAAGCATAAATTTGCTTACAAGAAAATTATGACAAAGGCAAGTTATAGATTTGGTGAAGATATATGCGGTTTGTTGAGTAGTGGAAACATGGAGTGAGTGATGACCCTGGAATCATAGGCGTCCATAATGTAATGACAGTGTATTTCAATATGTTTGGTGCGTTCATAGTACATAGAATTAGCCATAATCTGAATAGTGTTGTCACCATAGAGATGTGTAGACTGTAATTGAGAAATACCAAGTTCTGCGCAAAGACCACTCAACCGCACAACCTCTGAACATGAAGTGGACATAGCACGGTATTCTGTCTTAGTAGAAGACTTAGAAACACGATCTTGTTTTTTACATTTCCAAGAATGAGTATCACCCACAAAGATACACCACCTAGCACTAGATCAACGAGAATCAGGACAAAGAGCCCAATCAGCATCATTATAAATGGTGAGCTCAAGAGACGTTCCGTGACGGAGGAACGGACCACAATGAGAAGTCCCAGTAAGATAGCAAATAATGCGATGAATAGCTATCAAATGAAGATGATGAGAGGCATTCATAATCTTGTTGGCAATATGAATCGCAAAGGAAGTACTTGGATATGTGATAATGAGATGAATAAGACTACCCACTAACTTCCAATATAGAGTAGGGCTTGGAAGATTCGTCTTTTTCATATATTAACATTAAGCTCTAACGGAGTATCAACTAAGAAGGCTTTAGATAGATCAGCCAACCTTATTAAGTCTTGAATATGCTTAAGTCAATTCAAGAAGGTATCATGCGGTGTAGTAAGAACATTTAAGCCACGGAAGTGAAATAACCAAGGTCTTTCATACAAATACAAGTATACTTATGCATTTGAGTCTGTTCAGTCGTGCCTATCCCCAAGAGTAACTCCTCCACTGAAAAATCGAGTGAAGATGTAGCTAATGTTTCTAAATAAGGTTGCGATCAAATCTAGAGATAATAATATCATCTGCATATACCAACAAAAAAAATGCTAGCAACACTCTTTTGAAAGAATAGAGATGCATCATACTAACTCAAAGTAAAGCGGGTAAGAGATGGGAACAGAAAACATAGCCCCCATCCCGTTACACGCCCAATTTAAAGTTAATTTCAAATTTAAATTTTTTATCAAATAAAAAATAAAAGATCTTTATCATTATTTTTAAAGAGAACATGAGTTGCTCTTAACAAATTGAAAAAAAAAAAAGTAATAATATTTACTAACTAAAAACATATTATTTTTAAAGTAACATGAATTGTTCTTAACAAATTATTTGAGCCACATTGTTTTCAAAAAATACATTTTTCAACAGTGATTTGATTTGATTTCAACCACACATTCTTCAATAAAATAATATTACACGCAAATTTAAAACTTTTTTTTATTTTTTGACTACACATTTCTCATAGATTTGACATGAATAATGCATTTTTCCCAGAATGTGGCTCAAACATGGGCAAAATAAATAAAAAATAAAAAATAAACAAAACGATCAATACTACCCTTTTCCGCCCCAAGCACACCCCGTCCTTCTTTAACCGGGTATGGGGACAAGACAAAATAACAAAATACCCGACGGGACAGGGGTGAAAATGGCTGACCCGTTCCATACCCGCCTTATTGCCATTCTTACTTGACAAATTGAGGCATAAGTTTTGATCTTTCATGTGGTGGCAAATGAACAAAATAAATACAGCCAAATGGACGTGGATAAGAACGTGTGGAACGATGACCAAATATCTTATAAAATGGAGAGACGTTATCAAGAGTGGGAGAAGACAACCGATTTTATGAGATGAACAGTGATAGATAAGGTTTCAGACAAAAAATGAGAGGGAACAGAAGACTCGATCAGAAGAGCTCTAACCATGTCAAGGCGACGACGATTTTTGTGTTCCGCCACCTCGTTTTGTTGAGTAAAATGACAAAATCGTTGAGAAATAATACCTTTGGTCGAGAAGAAGTATTGAAACGTATTAGACATATATCCGCCTCCCAAATAAGATCGTAAGATTCTAATTAAGGAAGAAAATTTGTTGTTAATGAGAGCAAGGAGAGGTTGAAAGTTAGAAAACCTCACTCTTTGCCCGAAGAAAATAAACCTATGTGAAGTGACTATAGTCATCAATAAAAGTAATAAAGTATTTATAATGAGCATAAGAGACCACAGGTGCAATGCCCCAGACATCACTATGAACAATATTGGAAGTATACGAAGTACGAAGGGAACGATGAAACTGTTAGCAAGTTTACATGAAGCACTATCAAGAGAGATAGATGAAACCAAAGCAGAATTCTTATTACCAAGTAAATCAGAGTTTAATAAATATTGTAACACATTAGAATTGGGATGTTCAAATTTCTTATGCCAATCAAAAATATCAAAAGTAGCATAATTACAAACAATAGGAAAAGACGAAACAGGCTTCGGTGAAATAGGAAAGACGTCACTCCTTAGCCCCTCCTCACGATCGTCCTCCCAGACACCCAACCCTGCACTTGACACCCAGAAGAAAAAAAGGACATAGTGCAATTATTATTAAAAAGTTGACCTACAGACATAAGATTAGTCGATAAACTAGGAGAAACTAAAACATTTGGTAAATTTAGAGGTATATCACCCATGGCTGAGATAGGAAGATTGTTACCATCGTCATTGTGTATAGTGAGAGGTCTAATATATGGTCTAAGGTTACTAAACAACAGAGGATCGTGAGTCATATGATTAGAAGCACTTGAGTCTAATAACCAAGAAGTAGTAGTTAATGGATTACCTTAGACACTTAAGGTAAACAAAGCAGGAATAACAATTTGTTGGATCATGTGAGTGATGGAGTTTTGAACAAGATTGGGAATCAAGAAAGCTTCAAATAGAAAGGCATATTCCCGAAAAAGCCTTTGAGAGGCTAAAACTTGAGTGGGAGCAAGTGGGAGTGCTAAACTGGAGGCGAAAGTGGCAGCATCAACATAACTTGCTCCAGTCTTGCGTGAAGGACGAGTAGGACACTCTTTAATGATATGTCTAGGCTTGCAGTAATTGAAAACTTTTCTAGGACACTGAAGAGCCATGTGACCAAACTCTTTACACCTGTAACATTATACACTAGATATATTCCAAGATTTGAATTTCCTTTGAGACACATATACAACAGATCTGTGCTACTTGGTTTTACTGTTGTTCTAAAGAGGTACGAGTGATAAGTCGCTACTCCTCCCTCCGTAGTTCACCCAAATAGCCGTCCAGCTTTGAAATAAATTCGTAATTCACAAGATTTGACTTGATGGATTCAAATTCAAGTCGCAATTTCATGAAAAATTGATCTATCTTGGTGACTTCATGTACAGCTTGGACAGCCTCCAAGGTGTTAAATGCCCGTAGCATAAATAATATTTGTGTACTCAATCCAAATATTAGAAAAACCAGAATAATATTCTTCAGTGGAGCGAGAGTCCTGGGAAAAATTAGCCAATTCAAACTCCAATTGAAGCTTACTTTGAGTGTAAATTTACTCGAACATAGAACGAGCTAACTTGTAAGGTTCGAGATTAAGAACAATATGAGCATCAATAGATCCAATGATTTAGGCCATAATTCGAGAATCTTTAGTTTACCATGCAAGATAATTCTCCTTATCTTTCTCTTGATCGGAAGACAAAAGACTTCCATTAATATGTCCTTACAAATTGCCTTTGTCTTCAATCAATAATTAAAAATGAAAATGTCCATGAAGAGTAGTTCCTGCGAGTAAAGTGAATGCAAATGGAGTTAAGTCTTTTCAGTTGACATTATGAAATCGTGTACAACCAAAAATATTCATACTCAAATTAAATAAAGGGAAAAATTCATAAGGCAGGTGTTAACTTTGGCACAATTCAATTTTTAGGTGTCAGATTTCAAAATGAAAAACTCAAGTATTAGTTAATTAATTAAAAATATTTATTAATTAAATTTAATAAGGTCACAAATATACAATTAATGGTCACATATAAACAATTATAGGTCACAATTATTTTACTGGTCACATATTGTCAAATTAATTGGTCACGAATTATTTTGAGGTCACAAATAAAAATCTTGTAGGTCACAAATTATTTGAAGATCACAAATCAAAAATTTTATACGTAATAATTTATTTTATTGGT